AATCGTTTTTTGGCGGCTGGTCTTGAGTGCAAAGACTTTGTTGTTAGGGGCAGAGGTAGTTCAGGCCCGATTCGTCTCCGTTGATTGCTTTTCCGGCCCGATTCGTCGGCACTTTCGCTCCTCCCCACTTTGTCTTTTGATATTAAATTCTGGTTTGCTAACCTAGTTTTTTATCTCTTTCTTGTTAGGTGCGTAGGCGAACCTCCTTCCGCCGTCGTTCCTTTCTGCGCCCGTGAAGACAATCGGCGGTGAGGTTTCTTTACATTACTGGTTTTTCCGGCTGCTACGTTGGAATAAGCCACATGCAGGCCTGTGTTTTTTGTTTGACATGATTGTTTGGTGTTGATATGATCCACTGGTAGTCTTAAGAATCGTACCAGTGGTAGTGATAGTTGTGGTACTGGTACCAACAACTTTGATTGGTATACCAATACCATTCTTGCTTGATAGTAGTAGTATTTTACCAGTACCCGTCTACATTGCTAGTAGTAGTTAAGAATCGTAACAATGGTGTGGTAGTTGTGGTGCTGGTACCCACAACTTTGACTGATACCAGTAGCATTCTTGATTGTTAGTAGTATTATTGTATCAGTAACATTCTACATTGCTAGTAGTACTTAAGAATCGTACCAGTGGTAGTTGTGGGACTGGTACCCATGTCTTTGTTTGGTACAGTAACATTGTTTCTTGTTAGTGGTAGTGGTAGTATTGTATCAGTAACATTCGACATTGCTGGTTATGTTTCTCAGCAGGTAGCAGTCCGCTTGGGGGACTCTGGTGATCTGGTGTTGGGCCTAGTAGCAAACGGCCACGCGATGAGGTACCAAAAAGTCTCATCAAGAAGAAGAAGCAACAGACTGTAAAGCCAAATCCAATCTCTTTGGAGAAGAAGTGTAGTCCGACTTCAATCATTGAGATTGGGGAGGCTCGCATTTCAAATAAGAGGAAGGCGCTTATCACGAAGCTCGGGCTAGGTTGTGTGCTCGATTTGAAGATGAAATGGTTTGACATCACATTGCCGTGTTGGATTACCAGACTATTCAATGAGGAGACAAAGTCGATAACTATGGAGGATGAGGGCAGCTTACCTTTACTATGGACAATGTCGATAACAATGGAGGATGGGGGGCAACTCACTTTTACTAGTTTTTTGGGGGTTTGTTGTCTTTAATTTGATATTGGACAAAGTAGTGTTTCTTACATTGACACAATTGGTTTCATGTTTGATTGTGAAAATTCAGTAACTTCTCCCTAGTTATTTTAACTACATACTTTGTGCACTTCTGGTTTTAGAGATAAACCTTCATTGGTACCTTTTTAGTTGTCATCTAGTGGTAGTTATTTAGTCGTAGTTAATTAGTGGTACTTCCTAGTGGTAGTAGGATACGTGTAAGAGGGTAAATAATGTGACTTGCTAATATCACTAAAGGTATACCATCAATAGTCATTTACATTGGTACCAATACCTTTACAGTGGAGACATTACCATTAAAATCGTACCAGTAAAACTCAATTGGTACCAGTCTATTAATGGTACAAGTGCCATTAATTAGGTATCGGTATTAGTAATGGTACCTGTACCACCAATTTGGTACCAGTCTTCAGTAATTGTTACCAATACCATTAATTTGGTACCATTATGTAACTAGTACCACTGATTATGTACCAGTCTTAGTAATGGTTACACGTAGCATTAATTGGTACCAGTCTTATTAATGGTACGAGTACCACTGATTTGGTACCAGTTTTATTAATGGTTATCAGTGGCATAAATTTGGCATCAATACTATTGATTTGTAAACAGTACCATTGATTTGGTACCAGTGAAGGGATATTTCTATAGCCAGTGGAGAAGGTACTGAATTTTTACAATCAAACACCAAACCAATTGTGCCAATGTAAGCAACAATACTTTAGCCAAGATCAAATTAAAGACAAGAGATACCCATAAACTTCTTCATACTTGGAAACGTACATGAAGCAATTATGCTACTCTTTAAATCCAACACACAACCTAGCCCAACCTTCTTCTCATCCGAAATACCGGCCTCCATAATCTCGATGATTGAAGTCGGACTGCACTTCTTCTTGAAGGTGCTTTGACTTGACGCTACAGTCTGTTGCTTCTTCTTCTTGTTGCGACTCTTTGTTTCCTCATCACGTGGTCGTTTTGTACTAGGCCCAGCACTCGAATCACTTGAGTCCCCCAAGCGTATTGCTACCTGTCGAGATGCACAACCATCAGATTGTGTGTTTTCCCGGATGATATAGCTGAGATCTTTGTTCTGCCAATCCTGCAACAACAACAACAAAAAATGCCTGGTACGAATTTTTACTCAAAACTTCAAGAGGGTTATCTTGTCACTGAGATCTACACTTCTAAAATGATATCACTACAAGTACTGCTGCTACTACTACTAGCAATGTAGAATGTTACTGTACAATACTACTACTAACAATCTAGAATGTTATTGGTACCAATCAGTATGTAATGGTTACTCTTCAGTGGTACTACTACAAATCAATTGGTACCAGTCCCACTACAGATAGAACAAGTTGTGTCATTCCATTAAACTACCATTATTAGCATACCACTGTCATTGGTACGAGTAACACAATTACCATAACAACTGGTACCAATAGAAAACTACCATTCAATCATACTGAAACGAATACAACGGTACCTGAAGCCCCCATAAGTGGTACTTGTACCAATAAGTGTGTACTGGTATCAATTCATTATTACTGGTACAAATCAATTGGTATTACTATCACTACATCTAGAACAAGTTATACCATTCCATTAAACCACCACTATTAGCATATCAATGTTATGGGTACCAGTAACACAACTACCACTGGCACTATACGAATTTAAGACTACCAATGGATCATACCAACACCAAACAAACACACCACACAAGAAAGACAGGCCTGCATGAGGCTTATTCCAACGTTGCATTCGGAAAACAAAAGCAGTAGTGTAAAGAAACCTCACCGGCGATTGTTTGCACGGCCGCAGAAAGGAACGACGACGAAAGGATGTTCGCCTATGCGCTTAACCAGAAGGAGAAAAATACTAGTTAGGATAACCAGAAGTGAATAAAAAAAGATGAAGAAGTGGAGAGGAGCGATAGAGCCGACGAATCAGGGTGGGAAAGCAAGCATAAAAGGAGACTAAATGAAAATTACATTGTAAAAGTTTTGCTTTTACCGGAATTACCTATGCTCTGAAAAACAAAGTCTTCACAATAGAACGGGACCGGACGAGTTGCTATCAAGAAAAGCGGAGAAAAACGATCTGAGACGGTGAAAGGAGATGCTTTGGGAGAAGACAGAGGAAAAGGGTTTCAGTGGAGTAATGTACAGGCTGTTTTGGGGAGACGAATGGTTCGCCGGGGAGGGTGGCTAATTTCTCTCCACCACCAATTTCTTTGCCTTTTCAAAACACGGCTGACTTTAGAGAACTAATGGGAGCTGGATCCAGTGTGGAAGCTCTCTTTTTTGCTCCTGTCTATCATCAATCGTCGGATGGAGATATAAGGGGATGGAGGGCTAGGAAGGGGGAAGCGAGATTGACAACCCCTTTTAGGGGTTGTCACGCTATCCAGTCCCAGGACAAGAGCTGTAATTAAGGATCAATGTTGACATGACCCGTTTTTACCCGATTTGTTTGGTCTGTTTTGAGCGGCGGGACGGGGCAGGTATGTATACTCTTATTGACCTGAACTGCCCTGATCCGCCCATTTTCGATCCGTTTTTGTCTAAATTACATGTAATCTTTAGTCAAATTAGTTAAAATTTTTCTTTTATTACATCATATGTTAGATACAATAAAGTTGTAAATTAGTGAAAGCCTCTATTTATCGTAATATTGTTTGTTTTCTTGGCTTTATAATAAAAACAATGAATATTTCTAATGTTTTTCATATAAATTGCATACTCATTGGGTCGACCTGCCTCGACCCGTGATCTGTGATAAATTACCTGACCTGGACTAGACCTGCCACTGAGAGGGTCTGGATACCAAGAAACCCGCCCCGGGCCTGCCCCATTGTCATTCCTATTTGTAATAGGGAAAATGAAAATATTGTATTTCACTATGAATAATCTCTTATAGACGAATAAGGAAATAAACTGGATTAAAAACAAGAGTAACGCGTCTTCCAGTAAACGGTTGAAAACAAATCGTGTTGGAGAGGAACACAGATGAAGAGCAACCATCCAAAGGATATGAACACTTTATCCTAATGCAGATCCCTCTTGCTTCCAAACCAAACAGAGCAACACCAAAAATAACATAAGCTCGTCCGTTCACAATGAAGTTCATGGCTATTGAGCACAACAACATATACCTCCTTCTCAGGATCGCTCAAAGACATCTATAAGGATGACCTCCTTGGGATCTCTCAAAGTTCATGACCCGTGGGTTGACCGGATTTGACACGAATCATTTGAGAAAAATGGATGTCACACGCCCGCAGGTAGTCTAGTAATAAGGATCCCAGGTTGGAGTTCACACAACGTCATTTTTTCTTTTGGTTTGTGAAGTGCGTCTTTGATGTAATGTTATATATTATTATTCATATGTTAGATGATATTTGATATAATTTATAAATATATGAAGTATGAACAATGCAATGGTTTTTTCATATATTCAGGCTAAACCAGACTAAACAATCGGACCATTAACCCTCAACCCACTTACTTGGTCAGGCCAACAAACTAAACCGGGTTGGAAACCTTGACATGAAGGTCATAATTATATTTGTATTTTCTATTTATGAATATATAGTTGTATCAAGGATTGTGAAACCGTACCAGAAGTTATACCCGAAAAATCGTTAGTAGGATATTTTATATTAAAATCGTGGTTCAACCGTTTTATATTGTCAAAACCAGCCACCGTATTAAGTCTGGTGGTGGACCCCATGAAGAAACATTTTTACCAAGTCATAAGCTCACCACCCCCGGCGCTCACCTTCCTCAGCGTCGGCACTCACCGCCCTCTAAGCTCATTGTCGACGGCGCTCACCGATCTCCTCGCCAATGGCGCTCGCCGCCCTCGGCGCTCACCAGTCCCCTCGCCAACGGCACTCACCTCCCCCGACGCTCAACGTCGATGGCGCTCACCGCCCACGGTGCTTACAGGTCTCCTCGCCGATGACACTCACCGCCCTCGGCGCTCGCCACCATGGCGCTCATCGTCGATGGCACTCGCTGCCCTCAGTGCTTATCGCCGACGGAGCTCACCGGTCCACTCGCCGATGGTGCTCACCCCCTTGCCGCCCATCGTCGACGGCGCTCGCCGCCCTCATTGCTCATCGCAGACGGCTCTCACCGGTCTCGCCGCCCATGGCGCTCATCGCCGACAACTCTCACTTCTCATCGCCGACGGCTCTCACCGGTCTTGCCGCCTACGATGCTCATCGATCTCACCATCTTGACGCTCATCATTGACGGCTATCGCCGGTCTCGTCGCCGATGGCGCTCACCACCATCAACGATCACCAGTCTGGCTGCCCACGACGCTCATGGTTGACGGCGCTCGGCACCCTCGCCGCTCATCGCCAACCACGCTCACCGGTCTCACCACCCACGGCGTTCTCGCCGAAGGCTCTCACCGGTCTCGCCGCCCACGGCGCTCACCAGTCTCACCACCTTGGTGCTCATCATCGACGACGCTCACCGGTCTCACCCCTCTCGGCGCTCACCACCACCGACGCTCACTGGTCTCGTTGCCTACGAAGCTTACCACCCTCGGCGCTCACGACGCCCACGCGTTCACTCACTCTGTTCTTCTCCCTTACGTGGCACCCTTATTGAGCCATGGCCTGTCACATAGCGTGAGTGTAACACCCTAACCCAGCTGGGTACTACTTTTACTAAAATGCCTTTGAAAAATAAAATACTCAAATCTTAAATTGCAACCGGAAATTTTTTCATAAATAGAACACTGAAATGAAAACACATACTGGTAGTTCAAAACAACGACCTAACACGTGGGCAACTTAACTCAAACTTTAAAACCTCAACTTGATCTCCAGACTATACTCATAATCATAAAACATAATAACTAACTAGTCTCAAGTGTTGCTGCTTGTGTGAAACTCTGACTAGACATCCTCTGTGACGCCCGTACCGTCCTCCTCTAGTTGGCTTCCCTCGAACTGTTTCTCTCATTCTCACTGCTCTCTAACTGCTCCTCTAGCTCTTCCTCTTCAAACTGGTGAGTGAGTTGGGGTCAGTCTACGCCCTTACGTTTATAATTTTATTAATACTTGATCACTTTACTTATCTTGATGGAAGTTATTTTGTACATCCACTATTAAAACTCAACTCTTAAAACTACATTCTTAAAGCTCAAATCTCCACTTAAATTCTTGACTGACACGGGGATCCCTCACTAGCTAGTCCGATTGCCCAACTCATACGTATGAGAAGCCCTCCAGGCTTTCCTTAAACTTATCGTGGAAGGCTCTTCTTCCACGATTCTCAAGAGCATAACTGCTGCTCATCTTAAAAGTCTCAAGAGCATAACTGCTGCTCTATCTTAAAATATCTCAAAAGGCAACGGACTGCGCTAGTGACTAAAAACACTTAAAACGACTTCACATTCTTAAAGGTGAGTTACTTCTTAAAAGACCTTGTTTCTTAAACTTAAACTTACTTGTAAGTAAAGCACACAACAACATGAAACTGAAAGCATAACTCGCACAAATCATATGACATCATACAAGCATACAAAGGCAAGTACGTACATAGCAGTTAAATCTCAAAAATTTAAACATCGTAAGGCGTATAATTTACCCCCTTTACACTCACCTCGAAAAGATGACTCTTCTTAATTTCTGGGTATCCACACCCTTTTCCGAGATTGCACGGTCAACTTCTTTGCGTTTCCCCTCCTTTCGCATTTCCTCCTATTACGTATTTAGGCAAAACTTAATTCACTTCTCTCTAAGTGTAACTAATCAAACGGCCTCTAATCTGGTTAATTCCAATCCCAATTTCCTCAATTTAATCTTTCCTAGAATTCCACATAAAATTCGGGAAAACTACCTTTTTGCCCCAAAATGGCAAATTACCAAATGGTTCTCGAAATTCCTGTGCCGTACCAATTCGGCCCCAATCTTTCAGAACTACACAATTTAGTCCACCAGGCCAATTCCCACTTCCTGATTTTAACATTTCAGTCCAAATGGCTTATTTCCAATCAGGTACCCAAACATTTGTTAATCACGGACCAATCCTTCAGACCGGTAAATTACTAATTGACGCCCAAACTTTCCAAAATTCACCAATATATCCCCACTTCTAAAAAGACTAAAACACCCCCTAACTATTCATTAAATTTTAAAAACCATGCCCTTGGGTTCCAACGATTCGGGAAGGGTGTCTCACCTCGTCAACGTCGCCGTCGAAGTCCCCGCTTCGGCCATCGTCCCTGCTTCTTTCCTTCTCCTCCTCTTCAGGTTCATCACCGACATCTTCCTCCGGCTCCTCTTCCTCCACCTCGAGCGATGAATCCCCAGCCACCGTCGGTGTCTGAAACTTCCCGTTGCCGCTATGCCCGTCGTTCCTCCTCAGGCCGCAATTCGGAGGCTAGTGACGGATCGCCCATACTCCACGGCGCTTCGGTGGATAGGCCCCTCTCCTTCCCTGCACCATCTCTTCCCCAGTTCTGGCCGCGATCGGCGTCAGCTCCTGTCATCGTCACCATCGTTGAGTTTTTGAGCTCCCGGTCTCGCCCGACGTTCACTACTTCTCTCATTCTCGTTGGCGCCTGTGCCGATTCCATGATCAGTTTGCTTTGGATCCCCCCTACTGTGCTCGCCAGTTGATATTTCCCCTTTCCCCTCCTTATCCGACGTCGGTCCTAGAAATAGTTTATTGAGGAGAATCGAGTTAAAAAAAATAGCCTCCTATTAGTGTCGATCTAATCCCCTGCAACCACCCATTAATTCCCAAAAAACTTCGTCTATTACTCTCTTCTGTTACCACCGATTCTTTAGTTTAATTCCCTAGCTAGTTATTCACAATCTGCCGTTGCTCTGTTTTCCTCTGCAGCTCGCACTGCTTTAGTTTCCCCGGCGATCGACATCCCCAAAGAAAACGACCCTGCTTTCCTTCTGCGCTGGGTTATGGAATAGGTTAGCATTGTTACTTATTTTTTAGTAATCATGGTGGCTACTAAAATCTACACCATTCATTATCTCTATTTCACTTTAATTTTAAATTAATGGTTAGATTAGATTAAAGATAATTTTGGAAATGAAAAAAAAAGTCACACCTCCCACCCCGCCGTCGTCCCCTCTCCCATCCCTTTCACCCCACCCCACCCCAACCCCACTGCCCTCCCATCCCTCCATCCCTCCCCACCCCGCCGCCATCCCCTCTCCCATCCCTCCCACCCCACCCCCATCGCCGTCCCTCTCCCATTCCTCCCTCCCCACCCTACTCTCTCTCTCCCCCCCCTACCCAGCAGCGCAATGAGCCGATGGACAAGCGATTTGTGTTCCGACCCTCTCGCCTCAATGGTATTGTTTTTGTTGCATTGGTATGTTTTTGTCCCACTGGTATTGATTATCATGTAATGGTATTTATTTGCATGTATTGGTTTTTTTTTTCTTCGTGAAATGGTATAGATTTATATTGGTAGATTGTTTATATTGGTAGTTTTCGTGTAATGGTACATATTTATTTGTGCAATGGTATTAATGTTTTTTCAAACTGGTAGTGGTTGTCTAATAGATTGGTAGTGATTTCGTGTTTTTTTCTTTTGCAAAACGATTAAGAAAAATAAGGAATTTTGTAGTAATTAATGCAATTTATTTGTCATACCCAATTTACCCTTAGTAACCATGGTGATTACTACTTTTGTAGTAATCATTGTAACCTGTCCCGCTGCCCTCCTCCTCATTCTGGGCCGCTGGCCCACTTCTTCCCCTTCTTCTTTTTTTCTCCAAATCGGGCCTATAGCCCGCTTCTTCCTTCCAGAGCTAGCTGCTCTCCTTTGATTTCTTTCGGGTAAATGCCACATTTGGTCACTGAGATTACTAAATCGTGTCATGTTTAGTCACTAGAAAAATTTAATATCAATTTTGGTCACTCAAATTACTGAAACAGGTCACATTTAGTCAGTCTCCTGTTAGTTTCGGTCCAATTCCATTAATGGATTGGACGGAAACTAACAGGAGAGTGACTAAACGTGACATGTTTCAGTAATTCGAGTGACTAAATGTGACATGTTTCAGTAATTCGAGTGATCGGAGTTGGACGGAGGCTAACAGGAGAGTGACTAAATTATTCTAGTGACTAAACATGACACGATTTAGTAATTTTAGTGACCAAATGTGGCATTTTTTCCTTCTAATAGCAAAAGTTGTTGGGGAAGGGGAAACCTAGGGAGAGGGTTTCTCTTTTTTTTCTTCCATTTTTGTTTAGGATGGGGAGATTTGTGGAAAGATGATGATAATAGAAATAATATCATAGTAATAATTATTATGATTATTATTATTATTCATAATTCGGGTTGCAACCCTTTGTACGTAACCGTTAACCCAACCGTTTACGTATTTTGGGTCGAACCTGAACCCAAAGATCGGGGTGTTACAGTGAGCGCCTTACGTGGCATGAGAGCACATGACACATGGCGAGCGGACGCCTCCTTCGACGACGTGTCAACCCAACACCACCGGCGCCGTTGCGTATCCTCCGTTGTCCCCCGGACGTCCTCTGTAAAAGGTGTCTCTCGTCTTCCGGCAAAGGTATGCAAAAAAGGCTCCAACGAGCTCCCTTAAAGAGTGTGCTACTATTAGCGACCGGAGCTATCACTCGTCCAGGCCCTCCTCTCCTACCTTAAGTCTTTAACTTCATTCTTCACCTCAACTTACCACTCGATACTGACTTGAGTGTCGGAGCCTGTAGCAAGGAATCTGACGTAAGCGACAACCCCAGCATCAACATCTGGTTTTTTATATTTCTAGTTTAACCGGCCAGCACGGTAGCGTTTGTATTATTCAATACTCCACAATTTGTGTAATTATTCATCATTTGATTTTCTGTCATTTGTAAAGAAATTGTGTTCACATATTGTTATGAGAGAGAAACGATCTAATTTTATTTCACCAAAAGTAAAAAAATACAATATTCTGTTTACAATATTTATATAAGTTCTATTCACCTAAATTACAATACAGTACCTAAATTAAACAAATATTAAAATTTGTATCCTATAACTACTCTATAGTCTATACACTTTTACCCTCCCTCAAGCTGGAGCATGTATGTCCAAAGTGCCCAGCTTGGACACAAGACCTGAAAACACAACAGTAGGCAAAGATTTCGTTAACTAATCAGCAACCTGATTAGAAGTAGAAACATGAAGTAATTTAATTAAACCAGAAGCATTCTTATCCCGAGTCAAATGACAATCTAACTCAATATGCTTAGTCCGCTCATGAGCAACTGGATTCTCAGGTATTCTAATGGCAGATTGGCTATCAGAAAACATGGCAGTATGCTTAGTAAACAAAAGGCCTAAATCTGCAAAAAGATAATTAAGACACTGAATTGCGCATGTAAGATCAGCCATGGCTCGATACCCAGCCTCGGTTGATGATCGAGAAATGGTCTGTTGCTTCTTAGAACGCCATGATATCAAAGAACCACCCAAGAAGACACAAAAGGCAGTGGTTGATCTTCGAGAATCGGGACAGCCTGCCCAGTCACTGTCTGAAAAAGCCTTTAAAGACAAGTCAGTGTGTGAAGGAAAAAATAAACCTAGACCAGGAGACCCTTTCAAGTAATGTAAAACACGATGAGCAGCTGCCATATGAATGTCTGTTGGAGCACTCATGAACTGTGTCAACTGATGTACAGGAAAAGCAATATCGGGACGTGTATTGCACAAGTACAATAAACGCCCAACTAACCTTCTGTAGACAGTGGAATCCTCTTAAAGAGTACCAGATTTAATGGAAAGCCAAACTCCTGGATTACAAGGAGTAGCCACAGGTTTTGCTCCAAGTAAACCAGAATCATTTAACAAATCTAAAACATATTTACGTTGACAAATAGAAATCCCTGTTTGGTTTCTAGCTATTTCGAGACCTAGAAAATATTTAAGATTGCCTAGATCTTTGATCTTAAAAGCATCATCTAACTTCTTTTTAAGACTCTATTTCACTTAAGAAATCACCAGCTAATATAATATCATCAACATAAACCGAAACAACAAGAAACTGACCATTGTGATGTTTTGTAAACAATGAATAATCTGCTTTTGATTGAGTATAACCAGCTTGTAAAAAGAAATTCTGTCAACTTGTGATTCCATTGTCTACTAGCTTGTTTAAGTCCATAAAGAGACTTATTTAGTTTACAAACCAGATTAGAAGTATCACCAGAAATTTTCAGACCCAATGGAAGTTTCATATAAACATCCTCAACCAAATCTCCGTGAAGGAAGGCATTATTTACATCAAGTTGATGTAAATGCCAGCCTTTCATGGAAGCTAAAGCAAGTAAAGACCGGATAGTAGTTAACTTGGCTACTGGAGAAAAAGTATCTAAGTAATCTATGCCCGGTGTTTGAGTATAACCTTTGGCGACAAGTCGAGCTTTTTCTCGCTCGACTGTTCCATCGGAATGAAATTTTACCTTGTAAACCCATTTATTCCCAATGGGTTTTACATTTGGTGGCTTCGGTAATCGGTACGACTGTGAAAGTGTTGGTTCGAAGGAGAGCATTTATTTCCATATCCATAACTGCATTCCACTTCTCATCTTGAGAAGCTTCCTTGCATGTTTTAGGTACTACAACAGAAGAAACAGCTAAAGCAAACTTGGAATGATGGTCAGCAAGTCTGTTAGTAGATAAACAGAGGATAAAGGGTATGAAACACCAGAATCAAACACCGAGTTGCAAACATAATCACGAAATTTAATAAGTGGCTGCCTCTTTCGAGGAGAAAGGCACTATGCTTCATCATCAAATAACGGAGCATACTCAGGAGGAGCTACTCCATCATCATCATCATTATTTGAGACAGAAAAGGAAGAAGAATCAAAAGAATAATTTGGGTCGGGTGCCGAAACGGTAGAAGAATCTGGATTAGTACTAACATCAGGAGATGTAAGACCATCCATTGATGAAACAGAAATAATGGGGAAAACAAAATCAGAAGAGACAGGAATAAAATCTTTGGAAAAGAAAGGAAAAACAATTTCATGAAACACTACATCACAAGACTCGCACAAAGACTTAGTAACCAGATTCTACAGCTTACAACCTTTAGTATCAAATGGGAAGCCTAGAAAAATGCAAGGTTGAGCTCTAGGCTCAAACTTTGGTCGATTGTGCGCCAAAGTAGACATGTAAACCAAACAACCAAATACACGAAAACTAGAATAATCAGGAACAGAATGATGCAACAACTCATAGGAGACTTATTATCTAAGACAGGACTTGGTAGTCGATTGATTAAGAATGTAGCGTGTAAGACAGCATGACTCCAGAATTTTGAAGGAAGAAAAGACCAAAATAACAGGGCACGAGCAACAGCAATAATGTGTTGTTGCTTGCGCTCCACCCGACCATTTTGCTGTGAAGATGCAATACATGTAGTGTGATGTACTATACCTGAAGAGCTATAAAATGAAGGCATGTAAAACTCAAGTCCATTGTCAAGCCGAATAATCTTGGGTTTGAGATTATATTGGGTTGAACATGACTAATAAAAAAACTAACAAGTCACGTGCTTTAGATTTCTTAGGCATCAGATAGACCCATGTATTTCGGGAGAAGTCATCGACGATAGTTAAAAAATATCGATAACATCTACAGAAGTAACACCATATGGACCCCATATGTCAACGTGAATCAAATAAAAAAAGCAAGAGCATGAGAATTACTTACCATGAATGGCAAGCGTTTCTGCTTGGCCATGGGACAAACAGAACAATGCTTATTTTTAACAGAAGTAACACTATTATCTTTAGACATAATAGTGTGTAAAGGATTACATGAGGCATGTCCAAGCCGATAATGGCAAATATCAATGTCATGAATAGTAGAATCAAAGACAACAGAAAGTAATCTGGATTCTGGTGTAGGAGCAGTGATTGGGGCAGGAAGAGAAGCTGGCCTGTTGGAATCAGGTGTGAAGCAATAAAGCCCACCAGACTCTCTAGCTGTACCAATCAACTTGCGGGAGACCATATCCTGAATAACGCAATGATTATGAAAGAATGTCAAGGAATATGTTGTGTCCTTGGTTAATTTGCTTACGGAGATTAAATTGAATCCAAACAAAGGAATACAAAGAACATTCCTAAGTTCTAAGGAACCAAACAAGATAACAGTACCAATATGAGTAACTTGTACTTTGGCACTGACTCGCTATGACACAACTCCTAACAAAGGCCAAGTGTAACCAATGAAAGGGACTTCATTATAGTGGCTCAAGGGATAAATATCGAATCCACGGGTCTCTAGAGTTACTATTACTCAGCTTCAGTTTATTATTTAGAAAACCAGATTAAGATGAAAGAACTAAAACTACTCTAGCAAACTACAGTTAAAGTTAATCTAATTACAGGTTGGGAACTCACTTAGGTATGATTCCCCCTAGCAACTAGCCATATTAACGAATGATGATTTCTAACTTGTTTCACTTTCATTCACAATGCGGAGAATCCTTGACTAGACCTTGAGTCTCGACTAAAGGAACAAGGGCCTCTTGAGTCAATTGCCTAGAGGGACGTATCCTTCTCTAGAACAACCGATCAAGGCGTTCTAAAAAGATTCCCTCTATCGAATGAGGTTCTCAATCGATACAAAGCAGTGAACCAACCCTCGACTAAAGCAATCGATCCAATACTATCAATCTATGGTGCTCTAGTGACCTAATCAGGTATTCGCTCTCATAGGATCAAAGCAGAATCAATAATCTCGACTAAAGCAGAATTGAATCATGAAAACATGCATAGATTGAATATGAACTCAAGATTATCAAGTCATAGTACTCATACAATCATCCAATCAAACAAACATAGCTAGGGTTCCTCAAAACCTAAGTGAAGGGAAGTTACTCCATAGAGAAGAGGGAGACTGCAGTAAGAATCTTCAGATGATCAGTCTTCAAGTCTGGGCTTATTCCTCGAGCTTCCAAGGCGAAGAAATCCTCCAGTTCCACTCCAAGAATGCCCTCAAATCGCACTCTCTCTCTCTCTCTCTCTTTGGTTCGTCCCTTGGGTGTTTGGGATCCAAAATCCAGCTCTCCCCTTGCAAAAACGCACAAAACAGGCTTTTAACAGCCTGCGTTCGCGATCCCCGGTCAGAATCCCCTGTCGGGTATTTTAGGTCAAGGCCGGGGATTTTCAAAACGCAACGTCTGGAGACAGGGGAAAATCCCCTATCAAGGCCAAAAATCCCCTATCGGGGATTTTGGCGTCACGATAGGGCCCCCTTCTGTTTCTCAGAGAAGCCCGAAACCAATTTTCCCCGGTCTGCTCCAAATAATACCCGGTCGGGTATTTTTGCCCATGGCAGGGTATTTTGCAGTTTCGGGTCCCCTATCTTTGATTCTTCGTTTCTCCCTCGTTCGGACTCCAAATCAGGTGTCGTTTGATTCCAGACGCTCGTAGTCTCGTCTTTTTTCTTCTCATGACAAGATTACATGATTATATGATCACAAACTGAGGTAGAAATCCATTCTTCTTCAAGTCATGCCCGAGTTTCTTCCCTCGAGTCGCCAATTGATCTCCGATTGACTTGAAACTTGCGCCTACGCTTCACTTTATGTGCTAGGACCTGAAATGTGACAAAGGAACACAACCTAGCGTAAAATAGGCCAAAGAAGCAATAATGCAAGCTTAAACGATCAAGAAACTAAGGGGAAAACATGTGCAAATATCGAGTCATCAGGCACCATTCGAAAGAGAAACATTAATGCCATTAACCGAAGAGTAAGCACTAAAGTAATCAGCTGAATTACAAGTTTGGTCACTCAAATTGTACAAATATTTCACGTTTGCCATCCGAATTATTTTTCTTTCTTATGCACCACTAACTTTACGAATCATTTCACTGTTAGTCACCGGCCGTTACACTCCGTTAAATTTGTCCTACATGGCAATCAAAAATTATTTGTCCACCTGCGTATTCTCTTTTGTTTTTCTTTATTCCGTTGAATGAGTTGAGCGGCACAGAACTATGAGTTCCAACAATGGTGGAACAAACAACCCACTCATTCCCCGACTCCTCAGACGATAACCCCCAACTCCGCCGCCGCTTCATCTTCCTCCTCCTCCCTCACCACCGACCTCACCTCCTCCCCTACGACCACCACCAAGGCCCACCACACCTGCTCCGCCCGCCACTCCGGCAGCTCTCCTGGCTCTGGCTCCTCCGCTTCCACAAACTCACCGCCTCTGTCGCTTGGCTCACCGACTCCTCCATCTCCCTCATTCGCACCGCCAACCGTCGCATCTCCAGCCACCACCGCTCCGCTTCCACCTACTCTTCCCGCCTCTACAAAATCATTCGCCTCTTTTTAATCCTCGTCCTATTGCTTATCTTCCTTAAGCTCCTCACCTACCGTCACGGATGGCAACTCACTCCGCCTTCCGTCGAATCCGCCGAGACCCTGGTAGAGCGCCTCTAAGCCAAATGGCTCGAAATCAGAGCTGATTACTTGGCCCCGCCCCACCAATACCTCGCCAATTTCTGAATAATTTATGGGAGCACGGCCGTGGAGATCCGATGACCGGTATCCTTCCGATAATTTATTTTTTTAATTTAGTTAATTTTTATTAAATAACTAATTGGAATGATGAGGTGGATAAATAATTTTATTTTTTTATTTTTTTAATTTCCACGTCATCTAGTTAACGGTCAAACTTTTTAGTTGATTGCCACATAGGACAAATTTAACGGAGTGTAACGGCCGGTGACTAACGGTGAAACGATTCATAAAGTTAGTGGCGAATAAGAAAGAAAAGTAATTCGGGTGGTAAACGTGAAAGATTTGTATAATTTGAATGACCAAACGTGTAATTTAGCCAAAGTAATCTAAACTAGAGATGACATGATCAGAAGCCCCACTGTCGATGACCCAAGAAACCACATCTACTTTCATATGACTATTGGCTAGAACATACTTACCTCCAGAAGAGGAAGGTGATGCAGAATCAGTAGTAGCACCCCCAGATGTGAAAGCATTAGCCACTAAGACATGTGAGACGGCGGATGGTTGGCTCACAGAGAATTGTTCAGCAACCAAAGCTCGATACTGCTGTTGTATAAGGACAATCGAATCGGACGATTGACTTCCGTTCTCAATGGAAACAGAGACATCAGTAGGCTCACTCACTACAACATTAACCCTAGATTTGCCTTTATAACCAGGGGGATAACCATGCTTTTTATAACATTTATCTACAGTGTGACCAGTCAAACCACAAAAAGAACAGATAGGACGTTTAGAGTGATTGTTTCCCCTATACTGGTTGTTCTGGACAGCACAGGCTAATGGATTGGAACTAACAACAGTACTAGAGACCTTGTTCTGACGCTCAAACTGGACTATCATGGAGAAAACCTTGTTGATAGGGGGAAGAGGATCCATCAACAAGATAGAAGAACGAACAGACTCAAAATCCTCTCCAAGACCTCTCAATAATCGAATAATCTGGTCAGACCTAGCATACTCAACACAAGAACACTTCGGAACACACAAACAAGACCTAATTGGACGATATGTTATCAATTCATCCCAAAGAACCCTAAGCTTGGTAAAGAACTCACTCACAGACATATTTCCCTGCTTAAGACTGAAGATCTCGTCCTGCAAGTTGGTAATTCGAACAAGATCGGCGATGCTGAAACGCTCGCTGAGATCTCTCCAGGCTTCGACCGTCGAGTTGAGCCAGAGAACACTCTGTACCATATCTGGAGATAACGAGTGAAGAATCCAGCCAAGCACCATCGTGTCGCACTGCTGCCAAGCGGAGTAAAGAGGATCACCGTGTGGTGGCGTCGCAACGGCTGGATCGATGAAAGCGAGCTTGTTCTTTGACAAAAGGCCGAAACGCATAGACCGCGCCCAAGAGTGGTAGTTCGGCCCGGTAAGCACGATTGACACGAGCTGCGCCGTCGAGGAATCACCGGTGCTGATGTAGTACGGATGATTAGGCGCGAGATTCGCTGCGAGAGGAAGAGACGGCTGGAAAGACGAAGAAGTCGCCATTGGAGAAGGCTTCGAGAAACAAAAACCCTAAAATTTTGGATAGCTGAAGCGAAAGAAACTAGTCAGAGAAACGTATTTGCTCTGATACCATGTTATGAGAGAGAAACGATATAATTTTATTTCACAAAAAATAAATAAAAAACAATATTATATTTACAATATTTATATAAGTTCTATTCACCTAAATTTACAATACCTGAATTAAACAAATATTACAATTTGTATCCTATAACTACTCTATACACACATATCAAAAGTAAGTACGATATGAAAGAGCAACGCGGAAACAAGCCAACAACCAATCGACCATTTGCACCCAGCATGCAGTCCAAATGAAAACTCTCGCTGCTCTCTCCAAACAAACATCCGCTCCGCCCAAACTGATCTCGCCCTCCACCGCCGCTAGAACCCCAACTCCGATAGCCCCTGCGGTTCCAACCGAATCCCAGTTCGTATCCCTCATTCATGTGTCCAAAGTCGTCCTCCATCTCCGTCAAATCCATGCGCAGATCCTCCTCCAGGGCTTCTCTTGGAGCAGCCTCCTCGCCACCCAGTTGGTGTCCGCCTCGTCTCTCCGGAACGCCATTGACTATTCCATCTCCGTATTCAGCCAATACCGTCCCAAAAACGTGTTTTTGTTCAATGCCCTGATTCGTGGGCTCGTGAAGAATGCCCGTTTCGAGGCTGCACTGTCCCATTTTGTTCTCATGTTGAGGTCGGATGTTAGGCCTGACAGGATGACTTACCCGTTTGTTCTCAAATCAACGGCGCAATTGTTCTTGAGAAGGCTTGCTGGGGAACTCCATTGCATGATTTTCAAGTCTGGGGTCGAGTTGGATTCCTTTGTTGAGGTGTCTCTGGCGGATATGTATGTGAAAATTGAAGAACTGGGTTATGCCCTGAAGGTATTTGATGAAAGTCCGCACAGACTGGATAGTCGGAGCACGTTGTTGTGGAATGTGTTGATAAATGGGTGCTGTAAGAACGGTGATATAGTTAAGGCTATGGAGCTCTTCCATACGATGCCAGGGAGGGATGTTGCTTCATGGAATAGTTTGATTAATGGGTTCTTGACAGCTGGACTATTGGATAAAGCCAATGCAGCTTTCGAGCAGATGCCAGAAAAGAATGTGGTAACTTGGACCACAATGGTTAACGGGTTTTCTCAGAATGGTGACAATGAGAAGGCGCTGTCAGTTTTCTATAGGATGTTGGAGGAGAACGTGAGGCCGAATGATTTTACTGTTGTTTCTGCTCTTTCTGCTTGTGCAAAGCTTGGTGCAGTTGAAGCTGGATTGCGGATACACAAGTATATTAAGGACAACAGGTTCAGGTTGAATGCGGCGATTGGGACTGCTTTGGTAGACATGTATGCGAAATGTGGGAATATAGAGTCTGCAAGTCAGGTGTTCAGTGAGACAAAAGAGAGGGATATCCTTACTTGGAGTGTCATGATATGGGGCTGGGCACTCCATGGCCGTTTCCAGCAAGCTATTCAATGCTCCAAGCAGATGCTGCGTTCAGGTCTGACAGCATACTAATTTTACGGATTTGCTTTGACATTTACAGACAATTACATGAACGCTTAAAACGCTTGGCTATTTGCAGGCATAAAACCAGATGAAGTTGTCTTTCTTGCCCTATTGACGGGTTGCACACATGCAGGCCAAGTTGATCTTGGGCTTAATATCTTCGACAGCATGAGGCTTGACTACCACATTGACCCGTCCATGAAACACTACTCACTAATTGTGGATCTATTAGGCAGGGCAGGGCGGCTGAAGGAAGCTCTCAAATTCATCGAGGAGATGCCACTAAATCCAGACCTTGTGATCTGGGGAACTTTGTTTTGTGCTTGTAGGGCTCACAAGAATGTTGAAATGGCAGAATTTGCAGTGACAAAGCTCCTTGAGCTTGAACCGAAACATCCTGGCAGTTACGTGTTCTTGTCTAATGCTTATGCTGCAGTAGGACGATGGGAAGATGCAGAGAGAGTACGAAGTTCAATGCAAGACAAAGGCGTTGGAAAAGGTCCCGGGTGGAGTCACGTCGAGGTGGATGGTCAAGTACACAGTTTTGTGGCTGGTGACAATGCTCATCATAAGGATGCAAAACAGATCCATCAGAAGCTGGAGGAAATAATGTCAGGTGCAAGAAAACAAGGTTACATGCCTGGAACAGAATGGGTACTTCACAACATTGAAGAAGAAGAGAAGGAAGATGCCCTGGGAAGTCACAGCGAAAAATTAGCTCTTGCTTTCGCGTTAATCCAAACTTCTCCAAAGACAGCACCCATTAGGATTGTGAAAAATCTTAGGATCTGTGGTGACTGCCACTCTTTAATGAAGTATGCCAGCATAATGAGCCAGAGGGAGATCATAGTGAGAGACATTAAACGTTTCCATCATTTCAAGGATGGAACTTGTTCGTGCGGAGACTACTGGTAACTCTCTCATGTGCACTCTGCTGTCATTGAGTTGATATATTGAGCAAACGGATCCAAATGCAGGTAGCAAAAGCACAAATACGGGTCTCCTACTGTTCCATGGGGCTCCTATGCAGTCAGCTCACTGCAGATTGTATTACTACTGGGTTGATTTACTTCGATCAAGCACCAAGCACATCTTTCTCCTTAAGCTGTACATGCTTAGTTGGTAGAAGTTGATAGCAACTCCTGAGCCCCGCAATGATGGTGTTCTTACCTTGATCTCAACGTTTAAGGAAACGGCTCCCATTGATTATCAGATAAGTGATTTGCCATTCGCTTATTAGCGGCAGACTCAAAATCTCAGCTTCTGGGAAAGCAAGTCTTGACCTTGTCATACCAGCGACCGATCAACCTCAAAAAACTGTTGCAATCACTAGATGGTCGACTATGAGTTGGAAAGAGGAAAGCTTGATTGGCTGATGGCTGTGGCAGTTTGGTTGGGAACTTGGGATGGACATACTATACAAAGGAACATTACTAAAGTTGCTCCCACTTGAGCTGTGAAAGATGCAATCATGCCAAAGCAGAGGCACATGACAAACATGGTCCGCAGGAACCAAGTTGTCAAAAACAAATTGACGACAGTCCCCAAGGACGATCATGAGAGCTTCAACTTTATGCTTCTATTTATTAGGCGTTATTTTCCTTTTGCAGTATGGATCCATTACGAACATTTTTCAGGCGAAAGTTGTTTCAATCGAAACCTGGCTTCAGTGGTCTCATGTTCCAAACGAAGTCGAGGTTCGATTAGGCCATGGTCAATCCAAAAACTGATTTCGGTTTAGTCATGGTCGAACTGAAAATTATCTTAGCTCGTTTGGAAGTTGGGATTTCAGATGATGTATTTAGCCAATACATGTAATCAGAAGAATTCATTGTTTTTTTGGCTTAAAATGAAACAGAATGCTTGTATTTGAACAGCAGATGGGCCCACCAGAATCATCCATTATGAATGATTGTCAATCTCAACTTTTAGCAGAGATTGTGTTTGAGGCATTGTTGTCTTACTTTTTGTTCCTTATTCTTTGAGGGACCACCAAAATCATTCAATCTCCAAACAATGTATTTTTCAAATTCATACATTGAAACAATGCATCTAATTATAATACATACATTGATTAAATACATCAATTTAGAGAATCCTAACTTCCAAACATGCCCTTAGATTCACAGACCTATGCTCACTTTTCAACATTTTTTCATCTGAAATATCTCGTTTATTCATGGTGGAGTTTGGTTTGGTAAGTCGATGGCGAATTTGATTGGAAAGTTTCTTGACAAAACAGAGATTGATTAGCTCGTTATCTAGTCGAAATGTGTGAAATGACAAAACCCATAAAAATTATTCAACTTGAAGGAATTTCACGAAGCTCTTATGAAAATGTAGAAATCTGACACTGGAGAAAGAGATCTAATTTTTTGAATATGAATTATTACTAAAAATAACTTTTATTTTTTAATTATCTAAACGAGAACTTTAGGTGAGAATTGACTGAGTTGGTAGTATTTTCTATTTTGTGTTTTGTTTTTCTCTCTTTTGTATTTAATATATTGGTGCTAAATTGAAAAGTGAAGTTTTAAGAGGATAAAAAAAATATTTAATGATTTTTCGGAGGACTATCAGTAATTTATTTATATTTTTTTAGGACAACCAAACAAATAAGAAACCTCTGAAAACCTTCCCTCGACGCACGTAAACAGGAAACCTGTCGCGCTGTAGGCGCGCCTTCAGATCCATTAAAATGACCGCCTCGTCACTTTATTCCCTCTTTTTAGACTGACGGGATCTCCCTTCCGCCGAACAGAAGAAGACGACGAAGAAGAAGAAGCAGCAGCAGCAGAACCGAACTGAAGAGAATCCAGCACTTCCGCGAGTCAGCTGAGTCATCAGCTCTCCGCGCCGGCCTATCCATCGCTTCGCCCGACGGAAAACCACGAGCCGCCTCCTGCGATGGTGAAGAAGAACGTGCCGGATTGGCTCAATAGCTCTCTCTGGTCCACTGCTCCGTCCTCTTCTTCCTCCGACGATCCCTCCCAACACTACTCTCCTTCCTCCAAGCCGGCTGTTTCCCCCAGGAAGATAACGAGTGATTCTAATTTTGAGCCTCCGATTCCCGTCCGGCCTCCGACGGTGGCGAGAGAAGAACAACCGCCTCCGCCTCCTTCCCGTTCTCAGAAACCGGAGATCAAAGATAGGAATTCCCGGACCAGTATTTCCAGTAACGCGAATAGCAGTAGCAATAGCAGTATTGACAAGGATGAAGATCGCGATGGCGAGAATGGCGCCTCTCCTGCTAGCCCGTCAGCGGAGGATATCACGAAGCAGGCTCAGTTATTGACCGAGGTGAGTGGGAGTGAGAGATTCTGTGTAGTTTGCTTGTTTCTGTTTAAGTGGTTGATTGAACTATGAATCATGTGAATGCAGTTGTCGAAGAAGGTAGTAAATGTGAAAGAATTAAGGAAGATTGCTTCGCAGGGCTTGCCTGATGGTGCTGGCATCCGTTCTACAGTTTGGAAGGTAATAATTGGCTACCACACTGTTTAGGGTTTGGCTGATTTGTTTGCTAGGAAATTTGGTTAATGGAATGGAAAATGAAGTTTTGTTTTGATGCTGGAATAACAAATGCATCCCTTACTAGGAGAAACAAACTATTATTGTCTTGATCTCGAAGTAGTTTCTCCACTGCATGAACTTCTTCCTTTGTATTATTTTACTAGTGAGGTGTGAATCTATAAGTTGAGCAAACTTCGATGGAGTTGATTGATCTGTGAAAGAAATTATCCATTTGCAGCTTTTGTTGGGATATTTGCCTCCTGAGCGTTCACAGTGGTCATCAGAATTGGCTAAGAAGAGGTCCCAATACAAGAATTTCAAAGATGAGCTTCTGATGAATCCTGTAAGTTTTGGTCTTCTTGTTGCCTTACGGAATTACTACTTTTAACTTCATTCCTAGGATCTGGATTCAGTACTTAAGACTCGTTAAAAGGTGCTTGGCTGTTGATTATCTCTTTTCTCGAGTTCTTTAGTATTAATGCTCACAAATAGAGGGTGCCTTGTGAAGTTCAAAAGCTCCATGCAGCCAGCAAAATGGTTATCAGAAATTGAAGTAATGAGTATTCTATGATTAATCTGAACAAGCTAATCATGTAATATCATTAGTAATTTGCCTGGAATTGTGCTTGATGAGATCATGGTGCAGTTTAGTATATAATAAGATCATGATGCATTAGTCTTCATACTTAAGCCAAGTGCATGTTCGCATTGCTGAACTTTTTTGTGCCTAGTTAGTCAGAAATCACAAGGAAGTTGGAGAAGTCTACCATTGATGACGAGCCAAAGTCTGAAAGTCGTTGTGTGCTATCAAGATCAGAGATAACTCATGATGAACATCCTTTGAGCCTTGGGAAAACCAGCATTTGGAATCAGTTCTTCCAGGTACAAGGATGCTTGGTCATTATCGCTGTTGGAATTAGTAACCATGGATCTTTTTGGACTTGTGGCGACGTTATGTTGCTTCAGTCTTGACATATTGTCTCTTCAAACCTGAACTTTTGTAGGACTCTGAGATTATAGAGCAGATTGACCGAGATGTGAAACGTACTCATCCTGATCTGCACTTCTTCTCTGGAGATTCATCTTTTGCAAATTCTAATCAGGTCCAATGCTGCATTCTTGGTGGACAGTTATTCAATTTGATTATGTAGTGTGTCTGACGTATCATGTGCCCTTCTCTCTCTTTCAGGAAGCTTTGAAGAGCATATTGGTTGTGTTTGCTAAATTAAATCCTGGCATCAGATATGTTCAGGGGATGAATGAGATTTTGGCACCTTTGTACTACGTATTCAAAAGTGATCCTGATGAGGAAATGGCAGTAAGTGAATTTTTATTTTTTCCATCTTTTCACTCAGAATTGTGCTGAAGTTGGCATTGCATGGCCTTCTTCATGTTCTTGGCGGGTTTATTACTCAAAAAAGTATTTGTTATTAAAAGTTTTTGAAGATTTGAAGTTTTTGAAGCCTTTAAATCTACAGCCTATAGTAGTTTAGAATATCACCAGTGATCTATGGCTCAGCAACATCCTAGAACAAGCTACTCTTGACTTTTCAAAGCAATTGACTGATGGGTCTTCCCGTTGACATTGTGCAGGCCTGTGCTGAAGCAGACACATTTTTTTGTTTTGTTGAGTTATTAAGTGGATTCCGCGACCATTTCTGCCAGCAATTGGACAATAGTGTTGTGGGAATCCGTTCAACAATTACAAAGCTATCCCAGCTTTTGAGGGAGCATGATGAAGAACTCTGGCGTCACCTCGAGATTACAACCAAGGTAAGAGATGCATCAAGTGTAGGTTTAGATTTGTACATAACATTGTGGAGTTACCATTTTCTTCATACCAGAGGACACAAACTCGAGAAATAATGGCACTTGTGTGATGCAAGTTAACCAGTCATTTGAAATTTGTTATCAGCTGAAATACCTAACCATATTGACGCTGGCTATTCATCTCTGAAGAAAGAGATCTTCTTGTTTTTGGTGATTGAACAGGTGAACCCGCAATTTTATGCATTCAGGTGGATCACCCTCCTGTTGACCCAGGAATTCAACTTTGCAGATAGTCTTCATATCTGGGACACCCTTCTAAGTGATCCCGAAGGCCCTCAGGTACAACTTTCATTTCCAACATTCTCTCGACTAGTATCGTTGTATTAAAAGCTAGTGCTCTCTTTCTTTTACCCCCTTGGTGGCATCCGTCCCAGAAACTAACGCGGACTGTGATTTACAGGAGACTTTACTTCGGATATGCTGCGCGATGCTTATTCTGATAAGAAGGCGGCTCCTAGCAGGGGATTTCACCTCCATTCTCAAGCTTCTGCAACACTACCCGCCCACAAACATCAGACATTTGCTTTATGTTGCAAACAAATTGCGTCCTGTACCCAATTGCTAATTGCCGTCAATCTGGTTTGCCTTCGTTTCCTCTCCTTGGTGTGGTCTCGGTGTAAATTAGCAACTAACGGACACTCTCTCCTCTAGCTTATATGTGATAGTGAGATTAGTTCCTTGTTTATCATCCTTCCCTTCCCCTATTGCTTTTTTTGCTTGTCGCTGAAATGTTGTGTAAACGTCTGCTCATTTCTACCTAAACTCCCCTCGTTTTGCCTTGTGGTGGAATAGCTTTTCTACTGACGCCTGCTTTCTCCGTGATATTTTTACTGAATGGTTAAAGGTCGTCCTAAAAACTAACCATCGTCCTAACTTAATATGTAATTTACCGAATTGCCCATTTGAATTTCAAAATCAAACACAAAACAAACAACCCATCCCCTTCCATAAATCTAAAAAAATATAAACCAAAATCCAACAAATTATCTTATGGACCGAACAATAAATCGTAGTAAAAGAATAGAAAATTATTGATATAAAACAAAAAAAATCCAAAAAAATTCCGAAACCCCTCAACGAAGCCAATTTTCGGTTGTACCATGGCTCAACCTAAGGCAATTTTCGGTTGGTCCATGGTACAACCGAAAATTGCCTTAGATTGAGCCATGGTACAACCGAAAATTGGCTTCGGTTGAGGGGTTTTGGGTTTTTTTGAAAAAAAAATCGGATTTTTACCTCATCGGAGTCACTACTCATGATTCGGACGTATTCCCAACAATTACGACTCGAGAATGTCAACGATGAATTCGAGAGTGTGGGAAATTGAGTGTTTTTCCTTTTTTTTTAGTTAAAGTGATGTTTGTTTGCTAAAGATGACAAAAGGTTAAAAGTGTAACTTTGTTATTTTTTAGGACGATCAATAGTAATTTTAAGGACGACGTTTATCAATTCCCTATTTTTATGCTCTTCTCGAGAATCAGTTTTCATTTTCTGTTTCGCTTCACGCTCTTCTTGAGGATCAGTTTTTCGTTTTCTGTTTCCCTTCACGACAGATGAGAGTGCAGAGGGATCATTTTCTGAGTGTACCAAATATGATTTACTACAGGGGCGGATCTACGTTTGGGGCCGGGGGGCCCAGAATTTTGCAAATCGTGTATGAGTACAATGAGAATTTTAAAATTACATATTAATTAAATAATTTGTATAAATCACGACATTGTGCAATTTAATTTAACAACAGTGCATGTAGTCTAACAGTGCATGTAGTCTAGTGGGTAAGTGAATGTCTTTTTATGTTAGGGAACGTGGGTTCAAATTTAGGGGTGTTCAACTGGTTATCATGGTTATAACCAAACTAAATAATGCTAAATTTCATTAACCATGGAATACAATATCATAATCAAACCGTCCAAACTAATACAGCAACCAAATTAACCAAACTAAGGTTTAATCGGTTTGGTTAATTGGTTAACCAGATTAACCAATATAAAATCACATTATCATTGAGATGAAAATTTTCCGGTTAATGCAACAATTCGCAATTTATATAATGAATAAACCATAACAATCAACACGTAGTTATAGTTGACCCTTAACAAAAAATACATGCAACTAAGACAATTATCTTACGATTAGTATAGAAGTATTGACCTAACAAAAAATTATGACAATGGTATGAGGTAATTAATTGTTGTGTTTGTGTAAATTGACTTAGTCTCTTAGCAATCATCATAGGCTGGAAATGACCTTCCTTTCAAGTTTTCATTCATCATAATATATGAAATTTATCTAAACTAGGCGTCCATATGTTGTGGTCTAGACTTTACATATATAAATATACACTATATGATCAATATTGAGCTTTATATTTTATGAGTCTAAAAGGGATGAACGTTAACTCTTGAGTGGTTACGCAAAGTATTATGTGTATATAATATATGTTAGATATATGACTAATTACTTAACTGGTTAATTTGGTTTGACTGGTTAGGAGTGTCTGAAACCAAACCAAACCACCTAAACCAAACAAGCTAAAAACTTTAACCAAACCAAACCAATTATCCAAATTAACCAAACCAAATTATCCAAATAGTACCGGTTAAAATGGTTACCACGGTAACCAAACCGTTTGAACACCCCTAGGTTCAATACCCATCAGTGATGAAACTTTCAGTTTTTTGGTCCATTTTTGCTAAAAAAATTCAGAACATGGTACAAATACAAAAATGATTATTTTTTGTTGACAATTTATTTAATTATGTTGAACATATCATTGCTAATTTTTTATTTAAATCATAATTTTAGTGCTAACAATTATCTTAGATAATAAATTGTAATGTGGGATTTATATTATTTGTTTTTTTTTTTTACGATAATACGTACTAAAAAAATTTCGACCCCCCGAACTTCAAATCCTGGCCCCGCCCATAATTTACTAGACACTATTGAGACTCTTCATGTAAGTTTGCGCCCAAGAGTGGCAATGTGTTGCCAGACAGGAGACTAGACCTGAACCTGAAAGTGCTGTAAGGCGAGTCGATGGTTATAACTTGCCAGAACCAAACATTAGCACGAAGACTCCGACAATGAGTCTTTCAGCAATCTAGAAACAATGGTTGACATTCAATGAATAAAAAGCAAACAGTGGTAAATGAAACCCGTATAAATACAGGAACCATGTCTCAGCCTTCAACTACATCTCTGAAGATCTCTCCTTTCATATGAACAAACAAATCCATCAAACGTTGTCGTCGATAGCTCAACTACTATGTCCCATCTAACTACTGACCCGTAGAGTGCTCCACTAGTTTTATGATCACCAGTGTAGATGTAACTGTTCCTGGAAAAAAACTATGAAGGGCACACTTGACAACTTCCAACTGATTGCTGAGACGCCTGTACAAAGTAGGAAAGACTACAAGCTGACAGCATCAGGATACCTGAGGCAAAACATATAATATGATGTGGTTTGGAATTGTGCTTCCAAATTGGTTGAGTAGTACTCTCACACGAGATTCTTCATCGTTCCATGGAAGAAGTTCGATTTCCCCGCTGAGACTCCAAGTCGCTTGTCATCTGGCTTTCCAACTGGTTATGAAGAACTTGCAGGACATTGTCAGGGGGGCACTTATGAGCTGGATTTTTTGCTTCTGTTTGGCAGAAGCACTCCGGCCAAGAGTTGGTATAAAATGACTCGGGTCTGACCCGCTCATGCGGTCCACCAAAGTTGGTATTCAGCATCGCACGCCTAACAGATTCTTCAAAACCAGCTTTCTTCCCTTTTGCGCGAGCAATGAAGACTGGGGCAAGTGCCTTCCTGTCAGGTCTTATTGTTGTTCTGAAGCCATAATAAAGGCGATGGCCCAGGAGATTGTTGGCAAAGTTACTCGGTCCATCATATGTTGGCATGAAGATGTCGGCCAGAAGACAAACCATGTAATCCACAGCAGAACCCAACAATCCCTGGCTCTTTGTAGATAACTCCTCTGAGGAATCGACAGAACTGTGATTTTCTAGACGAGGAAAGAGAGCCCTGAAAGGCTTCATAAATCGTTCCCCACCAAAAAGTTCACCAGCTGCTAAAAATATTCGAGTGGAATTATCAAAACCCATAGCTCGTAGAATAAGTCCAACCTGCAGCATGAAGTAATCTCAGTTGCTATCTCGGTACCAGCAACATAAACACGACAAAGCTATAGTTGTCATCTAGATGTATCCTCTGAAAGCATAACCTATGTTTCTAAGATCAGAAAACTCATGGCAACAGGAGAGGAAACAACAGCCATTGTGAATGAACAGGAGCTCACCTCTTCCGGAGTTAGTGGGCATTTTCCCATCAGTCTCCTCACTTCAGGGTCCAGCTCCTTCTCGGCAAAATTTTCCTTCCGATACTTCTGCAATATTGCTCGTTCTTTTGGATTAAATATGTCGACACACCTGTAAGTAGACCACAGTGAAAAAATCAAGTCAGGACCTTGCCACTAAACACACGTCCCGTGCATAACATAAGGACCTGATAATGATGGCAACTTCTAGAAGTTCACAGAGATGAACATAAAGGCTCCAATGCTATTGAAGTGGTATTTAACTAAGACTAGAGTCAAACAAATGGATATGGCTATTGGCTAGTATGATTTCCATTTTTCCTGGGAATTCTTGCTTGGTTATTCCTTTCAAGTACCCAGATATGAGGTTGCTAAACTCACATTTCCCAAGAACTCCAAACCTGCACTATCAAATCTTCATGGCATCCTAGTTTCTAGAGGCTGCTAATAAACACAAAACTTTAAAGCCTTTTTCAACTATCGGAAAGATGAGAATAATGTGATTTTCCTCTGCATCCCAATTACCCATTGGCTAGTCGAGCATAGGTACAACTTACGAATATATGTTTATAAAAGCACAAAGATCAGAGCATACCCTGCAAACGCAAGCATATCCATCTCGAAGCGAAGGTGTATAGCCATGAAGTGGCCTTCTGTACGTAGCTTCTCAACTATTAATTCACTTAGCTTCATTATATGTGGTTTAAATCTTAAAGCATGATAATTAACTCTGCATCTGAGTCGTTGGTACTCCGGGTTATCAATTTCCTCCGCCAAACGGTGTGAAAAGGGTGTTAGATATATGGCTCCATGTTGCTTCATTGTCGCGAGAGCCTCTGTTGTATACCAATCTACACCTGCATCTCTACCGGGACGCATCTGATCAGGAAACAATAAATGGGTCAGCTAGAAGAGTAAAATAAAACAGCTTAGGAAGAACTGGTGGACACTAAATTATGCAGATGATGAGAGAAGATATGCTATGGCTCACCTGAACAGCCTTGATCTTCTTTGTTTTGCCATTTTTACGAATTTCTGGAATGCTTTCAACAATTCGCACATCATACCTCAATGAATGAATAAAATGCTCCACATCATAAATGCCATGGAATCCACTACATACAGCATGAAAAAAGCGTCTCAATATACAACTTGATAAGTTTGAAGAATGGAAGAAGACCGAGAGCAAGAAGCGCCAGAAGAACCTCAATCAGTAGGTTCATTAAAAAGGCTTGATATGGAAATATGGGAATGGCGACAGGTAACTGCCAGATGTTGCAAAACATGACTTATAATGCAGAATGCAGTGTTCATTCTATCCATACTGTAACTTTCGGAAAGCAGCTGGTTCAAAAAAATTCAAAGACTTCGATGCACTGGAAGACGGATACAAGAAAACAGATACCTGTCATCATGCCAGAATGAGTTTGCGTCCAACTCAGGGAGCACAAGTGTAGCATTCATAATTCTAGCCGCAAGAACAGCATTGCAGATCTGCAACATTCAGAACAGCATAGAAACTAATGAATAGCTGTAATCAAAGACAAACTAAGACCAAAGCCACGAACCAAGTTTAAAGAGTATAAAGCAAAAGAAGGAATGATTTGTTTACAGACCGCACTCCGCTGCTGATTCAGACCACCATTACAACGAACACGCAGATAGCCATTACTCTCTTTAGGAGGAGCTGCCCCGGATCAATGGCAACACAAAAGGAAAAGTAAACTGTCACCACGTAATTTGCTAATCGTTTCCCACTAACTCAATGCTAACTAGATAAATGAAGCAAAAGTGCGTACGAGGCCAGTGAGATCTAGGAGCTGATGATGGCCTCCAACCACCGGAATCAGCACTTTCCCATAGCTGTTCTACATTGATCTGCACACAACAAATTACATCCTCGAAAAATCAAACGAAGAACATCCACATTCAGATCAACTACACGAAGCAGCGAATATGCCAACAAAGCAAACCGACCTCTGCGGGGCCAGTAAATCCCTTGTTTCCGGTAAGTGTAGTGGAAAACAGAAAGGAAAGCGTGCAGATCAAGAGCACTAGAACGGCAATCGATAGCTTCGCCACCGATCCTCTCAGTGCTCCGGCTCCCTGCTTGAGCGACCTGTTGTGGAGATGATGCCTACTCACCGATAAAGATAACAAAAATGGACCAACGGCAACGATCAGAAGACATTCGAGAGCCGAACGAAGTAAACAAAACGGGGAATTTTGTGCACCGGCTGCGTGAGCTTCCGTTTTTCTTTCTCACTCCAATTCCAGTGGTAAACGCCGGAAACCTACCTCCTCATTGTTAAGCGAAACAGGATCCCGGAGGAGTCGACTGATTCGAAGTTGCCGACGACGAGGGTTGGAAGAGGGAAAACTGGAGCTTTCCGTCTAAGTTGTCTGAGAATGATGGCGGAGAATGGAAGTGCAGTGAGCGAGTGAGAAGAGACTAGAGAGAGACGGACAGATTTTGGTTTAGCTCTCTCCTTCTTTCATTTTCTTTTTGGCGTTGAATGAGCGACCCGATCCGATGGATGCACGGACCACACCAGTGGAGTTTGGATTTCAGGACCGCGAACGGCGGTGGCGCGTGTAATCCGTTCTATGGGGTTGCGGATCCGGTCGGGCCAGATTTCCCCCTCTCTTAGTCTCTTTGTCCAGAAGAAACGTTATTTAAACGCGTAAAGTCTAACATGGTAGTTTTCATTGATTAGTGAATTAGTAAGTGTAATGTCTATTTTTTATTTAAATTGTTTTCAGATTTTTTTTATTATTTAAATCTATTAAAATTTTATTAATTAGCCAAATCTTTTATAATGAATCAAAATATTAGTCATTTTTATGTTATGGTTAATAATTTTGTAATTCTTTTCTTAGTTAAAATACTAAAATTCTTAGTTAATCATGTTGCCAAGTCAACATTACTAACAAAATTGCTAACTGAAAGTTAATATTTAGTTAATTCTTAGTATTTCGATAGGTTTGAATAATATAAAAGAATCTGAAAAAGATTTGGATAAAAAATAGACATTACCCAATTAGTAATTAAATTAAGGGAACGCTTACGGTGACACGCATGTTACAGTGACATGCATGTTATGGTGACGGCTCAAGATAGGGTGAATAACCATGCATAACCATGGGTTATGCACCCATTCAAGGTTGTCAAACCGGTTTATGTCAGTGTGCCAGTTTAGCAAGTGGAATGGTTCGATCGATGGCACATACCGGTTTGTGTCGGTTCATGCCGGTCAATATTACAAATAAAATTATAAATACTCATATTTAAACATGACATTTAACGTCAATGCCTAAATATTTATACTTGAATCTAACAAATAACATCAATATTTAACTTTTATACTCATAAAATAAATAATAAAATAATTTTTAACAATTAAATTCACTAAAATAAGGTCATTTTAATTAGAGATTCATATATCGATCATGCCGGTCATACCGGTGGTGTCACACCGGTTTTATGATCGGTACCGGTTGAACAAGGTACAACTGGTGGCACGCCAATCGGCGTGACAACCATGCATCCATCAATAACTAAATCTGGACCCTTCATTTAGAAAATTCAGATCTAAGGATGGAGAATTAAATGTCATTTTTATTTTCCCTAGTTTTCTTAATCGACTCATATCTTTTTCGTTTAACTCGGATTTTAATATTTTTTGCACAGATGGAACGAGTTCGTTGTGCTCTACAAAATGAGATTCATTTTCAATATTTTTTGAGAAAAAAAAATTCTTGCCTCTCGGTACTATCTACATATCATATGGTATCTTCTTCGTTTTAATTCGTTTTTTAAAACGTTTGCACAGAAGGAAGGAGTTCATAATGATCTATTGGATCTACAAATTTCTAGGAGAACAAATTACAGGACCAAAAAATACCACACAATACCACCCTGGTACGGGGTGGTATCTTGTGGTACACAATGTTAAAAGTTGTAAATGGCAGTTAATATACTTCTAATATCATGTATTCAACCATCCTACAGTCTTGGTTTGTTCATACCACCATGATACGCTTTTCAAACCATAGGTATGCTCTTATTTCAATACCAGTCATTACCATATGGTATAGACTGGTAAAAAATGGCTCAATCTTTTTTGTTCGAAAAATATATCAAAGTAGATATCATTTTGAAGAGCACAATTAATCTGATCTAACTGTGCAAAAAAAATCGACTTAAAATGAGTGAGAAATCCTCCGTCAAAGATTAAGGAGGGGAAAATTAAAGGCTTTCCAGGAAAGAGAGGGATGCTGATGTGGACGGGTTACTCATGGTTACTCACCATAAAGTTACTGACCTAATTCGTTCCCCATGGTGACTTGCACTTTTCGGTCGACCTAATCTGTTGTTTCAATGTAAAAACAGTTTCATGGTTGCTACTTTGGAGATTTATATCATACAATTGGCTAGATGGAAATTGAAGATTAATGGCTTGTTTTGAAGCTGGAGTGTCCCACTACATATTGAAGTGATTGAGAGCTCGATAGGAAGTCCAGAAGACCATTTTTGAACCTGATCAAAAGGCTAATGCCAAAACTGGGAAACGGCCTGAAAATGGCTAAGTCTGGAAACGTGTTTGTGAAGCCTATTTTGGAGCTCAATGCGAGTCGGATCCAGGGGCCTCTACCCCGTTAAATTATGTATGTTTTTATACAAATTCAAGGCATTGGATGAAAGATTGGATATCTGTAAGGCTTCAAACGAAAGGGTCGAAGTTGCTACGAAGGTTGTTTTCCTGGCAGACTTCGAGCACAAGCAAGCTGCCAGAAAAACAGCCTTCGTAGGAACTTCGAGCATTTTTTTTGAAGCCTCAAAGATATCCAATCTTTCATCCAATGCCTTGCCATTGTAGACAAACATACCTAATTTAACGTGGTAGAGACCCCCTGAACTCGAATCGCATCCATGCTTCTCAAATTGAGCTACAAAGTAGGATTCACAAACACGTTCCCAGACTTAAGCCATTTTCAGGCAGTTCCCCAGTTTTGGCATAGCCTTTTGATCAAGTTAAAAAATGGTCTTCTGGACTTCCTATCGAGCTCCCAAGTACTTTAATGTGTAGAGGGACACTTCAGCTTCAAAACAAGTCATTAATCTCTAATGTCTATCTAGCCAATTGTAAGATATGAATCTCCAAAGTAGGCACCATGAAACTGTTTATACACTGAAACAACAGATTAGGTCGACCTAATCCTATATGAGGTTGACCGAAAAGTGCATGTCACCGTAGCAAAGTCCTTAAATTAAATTTTTTTATAGAAAGATCAAGAATTGTCATAACTGGGATCAATTCAATTTGTAGAATCTACAATGTGCGATAGGAAATATTTTTTAGAAGAAAATAAATAATGTTACCTCCTAGATAGAAAAACTTGCCTATTCTAAATGGATTTCTCAAAATTTATAGGCTTTATATATTTATATTTTCTTTCAAACCGTATGTTATGATTTTTTTTTGGTAAATACAATTTAATAGTCAAACCATTCATTTTAAACAAAATAATAGCTAAATTTTTTCAAAAATAATTTAATAGCCCAACCGTTAACTTTTCGCCCGACGAACTGTTAGTTGACTCTAACGTGGCAAAATATTAAATGAGTTGGAAATTTTTGATTAGGTGGCAATAAGTCCAATTTCGACCTTGCCACATGGATATACATTCTTTTTATAAAAAAAAATTAGAAAATTAAAATCATAAAAAAGGATGGCTTTCATTCGTTCCCTCTCTCTAGCCTAATCCCTTCCATCCTTATCGTCCGGCCTCCGCGAAACCCAGCCCGTCTCCACCACCTCAATCTTCCAGTAGAAGTAGATTCACAGTTCGTATTTATCTCCACCAGATGAATACGATTAACTTTCCCCTAAAACAACAATTGAATGTCACTTCCCTAACCCAAAAGCTCCATCGCCCCCATTCCCAATTCCAAAGCCCATCTGAAACGACCATCCGCTGCCGAATCTCGCTTCCCTCGACCAAAAGCTCCACCGCCACTTCAGATCCCGAATTCCATCTGGAACGATGAGGTTGAATTCCATCACGAATTCCGCATTTGAAACCGCCTTCGTCCCTTTTTCGATATTACCGCCACTTAACGTTTGAGTTTTAGATATCACCGTCATCGGATTAGTGATGAGAATGACTCTTGATTGGTGAAATATGGGTTGGATAGCGTCGATTTGATCTCCTCTAGCGGCAGCAATCGACGGCGGATCCGCCATTGCCAATGGGAAGAAGCTCTTGCTTGCTGCTGCTTCCACTTTTCCTTCTTGTTCTTCTTAAATAGGGCCCTCTGCCTTTGAATCTGAAGCAAAACAAAAATCGGTTGTGGGAGCCCCTGCAACCGCCCCTTCCTCTCCCCGCCGCAACTACTCTCTGTTCTGGGCAGAATCTGGAGTCACCGCCGCCGTTAGAGGCTTCTCTGCCACTGTCAGCTGACGATTCAGGCGAAGACCAAGGCGCTCAAGCGGAAGTTAGGGATTTCTGCATTCCCAGTGGAGTCTCGTTGGAGAAACCAAGCGGCGAACAGAAGAATAGGGATTTCCGTTTTTTCTTTTCAATTTTATAATTATAATATAATTATTTATATCATTATTATTTAATTATTTTATAATAAATCAACAAAAATATAAAGAAAAAAATATATAGGCTGATGTGTGCACATATTTGCCACGTCAGAGTCAACTAACAGTTGACCGGACGGAAAGTTAACGGTTTGAATTTTAAATTGTTTTCGAAAAGGTTTGGTTATTATTTTATTTAAAATAAAAAGTTTGGATATTAAATTGTATTTACCCTTTTTCAATTATACAATCGTTTTGAATTTTTGATTGAGCTAATTGTTTTCATGTCCCTACAATTTTTTATAGAAATCTGGATGCTTTAATTTAATCATAATAAATGTTTGGACAATCTCACCTAAGTAGAGGTACAAGAAAAACTAGTGATCATGCACCCAAGTTTCTTCTTCTCTCGTGTATGCATTCCATATGGGTCATCACATGGGCTAGTTTATTTGCTTCCCGACCCGTATACCTAAAAAAAAAGTATATTAAAAATTCGGGTCTGACTACTCGATTTTTCACATACCGACCCGGTCTCAATGCTCGCTTCTTCCTTCTTTGTCAAGCTCTGGACGACTAGCTGGCAATCAGTCTCCATTTCCTCTTCTCGAAAATGGAAGCATTGGCGATTCCAAGCCATATTCCATCACCTTGTCGTCTCGGGTTCCCACTAGATTCAGGACCTCTTCACTGTCGCAACCATAATTTGTCTCGTTCTACCTCTAACCACCATCCCCCAACCCGTCCCCCAATCCTTGAAGCGCGCTACTGATGGCTTGATATATACACATGTTTTTATCCACCATTCTTGTATTTGAGTCTCATCTCTCGTGTTTTAGGCCAATTTCACACTAGGTTGTTCTTGTTTGTGATATTTCAGGCCCTAGTACGTGAAAGAAGGTTTGGGAACGAGTTCGGGGGTCGATTGGACGAAGTTGGGGCGTTTGACGAAAAGCTGGAAAAGCCACACGGGCACGCCTAAAAACCCACACGATCGTGTGACCTGGCCGTGTGACACCAAATTGCACGGGCAAGCCACACTGGCCGTGTGGAAAGTCCAGGGAGCTCACACGGGCACGCCTAAAATCCACACGGTCCTGTGGTTTTGGCCGTGTAGCGTACCTGAAGCCACTTAAGTGAAACGAACGTTTTGCACACTCACACGGGCACGCCTAAAAAGCCACACGGCCGTGTGGTTGGGAATTTCTGGGTTTTAACCCAAATTCGAGCCAAAGGAGAGGGAATCGACTTTTTGGAGCAAAAACAGAGCCCTAGAGAGAGAAAGTGCGAAGAACACATCATAGAAGTGATTTTGGAGCTGGGTTTCAATAATCGAGCTTGGAGATCATCATAGGAGTGAAGATTGACATCCCACAGCAGATTCTTCCCAATGTTATGAGTATGACTGCTTTGTATTCTGTTTCCCTCTCTCTCTATGGAGTAGAACTCTCTCTCACTTGGGTATGTGAACCCTAGTTCCATGTGTTAGGAATCTTGATTGTAATTACGTTTGGATTGTGATATTGCTTGATTATAATCGATTGAAGTGTTTTGAATGAGTCAATTGAAGTCTGATAATCTTTTATTGATTTCTGCTGCAACCTTAGATAGATAGAATCTTATTAGGTTGTTAGAGCTTCTTCAATCGGTAGTAGTGAATCGATTATACGAGAGTTAGTCGATTCACTGCTTTGTACTGGAATCTAATTCCAGTAGTGGAGTTCTGTGTTCATTGCCTCAGCGTTCTATCCCGGTGAAGACTAGTCGTCTGCCGGGTAGTTTGACTGAGAGGGCTTGGTCAGCTTAAGATAATCCAAGCTACTGTCGGATCTTCCGCAGTATAATCAGCAGTAAAGCAACCAAAAGTAATTACAACTGTGACCTAACTAAGGAGCTAGGGGGACTCATTCCCGAGTCACTCTTCCTTTGCTTTAGAAAACCGAATCTTTTCCTGCTTTCTTACTGCTTTTAGTTAAAACCACAATCAATCGACTTAGTTGGCTAGATAATAGATATTCACGGAGTAGACAGTAGATCTAGACCCTAGGTTGATGATTAGAACTTGCCACTTTACTGCATTCCCGGACTGCGATTACACTTGGTCGCAGTTTGGTGTTGTGTTTTAGCGTGTCAAGTTTTTGGCGCCGTTGCCGGGGAACTCTAGGTTATTGTAGAAACGTGAAATCTGTAACTTTAGCTTTTTTTTTTCTTTTATTTCCCACACTTGCTTTTCACTTGGGTGTTATGTTTTGTTGGTGCATATCTGAAACATGGATCCTCATGGCTTCTCCAACCATTGGGGGTATCAACCACCATCCGTGTGGTATTACCCCGAGACTTCCTAGAGCAATCAAGGAGGAGAAGACTATGGATTCGGATGTCAGTACCAACCCCCTACTACGGAGAACAACCAAACCCTTGGAAACCTCTAGAACAATATCCTTTTCAAGAAGAGTTCCTGCCACAACTAGAGGGGCCATCTGAGTTGGAGTTAGCCATGGAGACCTTCACGGGCCACTCTGCAGAGCCATGCTACACTTCACGGGAAGACCCAAACAAACAATTAAGGCTTCTCGTGGAGCAGATTGCTCGAGTACCTGAGAGATCCTTTCCCGAGATGGATCCTCATATCCAGGCCATGGCTCAAACTGACTTCTCCTTTCCCCGTGAAACAGAGGATACCCTTCAGAGCATAAAGAAGCACATAGAGGTCATTGAGAAAGCTTGTGCACAGTTTTCTCAAGACAACCTTTATGCTGCCATACAAGTAGAAGAGGAGGAAGAAGAAGGCAATCATGAGGATGTTGAGGAGCATATAGAAGTTGTCACGGAAAGCTCCCATGATAATCATGATCAAGTGTATCCTCTGGTGGTAGATCACAACTGTCCCCATTTTTGCTCTGATATGTTGGGCCCGAGCGAGGAGATGCAAGATGATCTCGTTGAAGAAATTACATGGCGACTTGCTCTTCAATCTGTGCTAGAAGAAGAAGAGCGAGAAAGGGTGAGGGAAGAAGTTGTGGAGGATGAGGAAGAAAGCAAAGAAGAGGAAGTTCTTGATCTTTTCCAAGGGGAGAGATAGGGGTGGGCATTCGGTCTAACCGAACCAAAATTATGAATACTGGGTCCCCGAATTCTCCCAAACCTCAAACCGAATTCGAACCGAATTATAATTCGGTTCGGTCGGTTTAAACCGAACTATAATTCGGTTCGATTTTTCACACAAAACCGAATTTGTGAAGCTACTTGTATTTTCTCACTTTTAAATTATTTTTCACCCCTAATATAAACAATAAATATCAATTATATGCATCATCAATGATAAAACCAAACTTTTCAACACATAAGTCCTAAAACATTTCATATATTTAAGTATAAAAACAACTACAAATATAAAAATCCACCATTTGGAGCTTGCAATTATAGTATTTCGGTTTTTCGGTCGGAAATTCGGAAATTCGGTTGAAAGAACCCTGATTTCCGAACTATCCATATTTTCCTTCCGAATTCCGAACCGAATAGCATTAATTTGGTTTCGGTTCGGTTTAATTCGGTTTTGGTTCGGGTTTACCGAACCGTTTGCCCACCCCTAGGGAGAGACCACATTTTGAAGAAGGAAGGGGGGGTTGAGGAAGCAAATGGCGTCCAGGCTAAGGATGAAGTTGAGGTGGAAGAGGCTTGCACCGGCCCTATGTTACATGTGATATCTCCACCAAACTTAGAGGAGCGTCTTGGCAAGGACCCATTTGCAATGTCTCTTTGCCAGACCAAGACCACATCAACATCAATCCTTATTAGTGGATGCGATACTGGTCAATCAATGATATCTTATTTGGTTTGGGGAAATGAGACAAGATCAAACACGAAGGAGAGGTCTCGAGAGTAGAGACTTCATCTTCCTCAAGGCCACGAGCCATCTTCATCACCTATCACATCACCTGCTTGTGACTTGAGACTCCACATCATCGACGAGAACCTCAACTTCAAGGAGGTTCTGGGGTGGACCGAAACTTAGGAGCCACCGTCTAGCTAAAGACGTAAAAGAAGCGCTTGTGGGGAGGCAACCCCACCAAGGTTTGTTTTTCTTTTGATTGTTTTTCGGTTTGTCCACTTGGAACTATGGTTTCTATCACCCAGTGTGTTTTGATGACTCTAGACCTACTGACTGGTCCCATTTCCAGTCCCCCGACAGTCCATATTCCAGGTAACATCATTCCCCCTTATATTTCCCTTGCTCCATTGAGGGCAATGTCGTGCTTAAGTGTGTGTGTGGGGGGGGGGGGGGTGTTTATCTATTTTTGACTGCTATATGAGTTTGTGTGCTTGGAGCCTAGTCCATTGTCACATTTGATGAATTGAGGGCTCCAAGTACCGTTCCCTGCAAAATCGTGCTCAGTATGCTTTGAATTGACAGTCTCTATGGTGATATGCAACCTAGGGAGGTAGTTGTAGCACTATGGAGGATGTTGAAGTATAAGATTTTTCCTATCTGTCTCTCTGTTGTGCCGATTGATTTTGTGAACTAGTGGATTTAGGACCGTTGATTCATGTGGTATTGATGACTCCTCTTATGTTTTGTTGTGGGCTCGTGTATCGAAAAAGGGCGCTCAAGTGTGAAATGAAAAAGCAGTTGGTCCTCCATGTCAAAAATTTTAAATTCTAAGACATGGGGTAAGTCCAACGTGTGTGGCACCGTTCATTGCACAAAATCGGGTTTTGGAAGATATTTTAGTGATCCTTGGTGGGGTAGGCCTACAACGTGAAGCTAATTTGTCTCTAGTACAAGTAAAATTTCCACCCGTTGAACGGTTGACCTACTTGAGGATGTGTTTTTAAGGGCACGGATAGAGCTTCCGACCCCCCTTAATTTCATTAACCCTCCACACGAAGTGAGGAATAGGAGTTAAAAGAAGTACTCTGGCGAGTGACAGATGTACATAAATTGGTCTTGCTCACCTAATAAGGATAGAACGCGCATACAAACTGCAGTTGGAACCCCAGCAAAGAAAAAAAAACAAATAGTAAGAAGAAGGGGTTCCAACAAGTGAAATGAAATGAAAGAGCACCCGATACTGAGTCCTTGGTTGTTGAATTGTGTGAGTCTCCTTATCCATGAATTGAATGTCTTAGAAGACCAATTGACCTCGTAAGTTGCTAAATGATCTAGAAAATCCTCTGCCGACGATCGGGGTTGCATGTTGCTATAGAGGTCTGGAGAGTTGTATTGGTTTGAGTCAGGTTTCCTTGGGGACAAGCAAACGGTTAAGTGTGGGGGAATTTGATGACTTGATATATTCACATGTTTTTATCCACCATTCCTGTACCGTTCGAGTCTCATCTCTCGTGTTTTAGGCCAATTTCATGCTAGGTTGTTCTTGTTTGTAATATTTCAGGTCCTAGTACGTGAAAGAAGGTTTGGGCACGAGTTCGGGGTCGATTGGACAAAGTTGGGGCGTTTGACGAAAAGCTGGAAAAGACACACGGGCACGCCTAAAAACCCACACGGGCGTGTGACCTGGCCGTGTGGCACCAAATTGCACGGACAAGCCACACTGGCTGTGTAGGGGACCCCTTGTGGCCGTGTGGAAAGTCCAGGGAGCTCACACGGGCACGCCTAAAATCCACACGGCTGTGTGGTTTTGGCCGTGTAGCGTACCTGAAATCACTTAAGCGAAACGCGGCGTTTTGCACACTCACACGGGCACGCCTAAAAAACCACACGGTCATGTGGCCTGGCCGTGTGGTCGGAAATTTCTGGGTTTTAACCCAAATTCGAGCCAAAGGAGAGGGAATCGACTTTTTGGAGCAAAAACAGAGCCCTAGAGAGAGAAAGTGCGAAGAACACATCCTAGAAGTGATTTTGGAGCTGGGTTTCAACAATCAAGCTTGGAGATCATCATAGGAGTGAAGATTGACATCCTAGAGCAGGTTCTTCCCATTGTTATGAGTATGACTGCTTTGTATTCTGTTTCCCTCTCTCTCTCTCTCTCTCTCTCTGTCTATGGAGTAGAACTCTCTCTCACTTGGGTATGAAGAACCCTAGTTCCATGTGTTAGGAATCTTGATTGTAATTACATTTGGATTGTGATGTTGCTTGATTATAATCAATTGAAGTGTTTTGAATGAGTCAATTGAAGTTTGATCACCTTTTATTGATTTCTGCTGCAACCTGAGATAGATAGAATCTGATTAGGTTGTTAGAGCTTCTTCAATCGGTAGTAGTGAATCGATTATATGAGAGTTAGTCGATTCACTACTTTGTACTGGAATCTAATTCTAGTAGTGGAAATCTGTGTTCATTGCCTCAACATTCTATCCCGGTGAAGACTAGTCGTCTGCCGGGTAGTTTGACTGAGAGGGCTTGGTCAGCTTAAGAGATTCCAAGCTACCGTCGGATCTTCCGCAGTATAATCAGCAGTAAAGCAACCAAAAGTAATTACAACTGTGACCTAACTAAGGAGCTAGGGGGACTCATTCCCGAGTGACTCTTCCTTTGCTTTAGAAAATCGAATCTTTTCCTGCTTTCTTACTGCTTTTAGTTAAAACCACAATCAATCGACTTAGTTGGCTAGATAATAGATATTCACGGAGTAGGCAGTAGATCTATAGACCCCCGGGTTGATAATTAGAACTTGCCACTTTACTGCATTCGCGGACTACGATTACACTTGGTCGCAGTTTGGTGTCGTGTTTTAGCGTGTCAGCTACATCGACGTTTATTTTAATATCCACCTAATTCGGTAGTTTCCAATGACTATTCAATTGCCTCGATGCCTTTGCCTGTCGAATATGAATATTTAGGAACTCCTCCAACCAATCACTCCCCCGACCCATGATTTTCCACTTCTCCATATTCTTCTTGGTATAGAGCTGACAGTTTCTCTCATTCAAGATGAACCAGAGAGAGACCTATAAGTGTATGAGAATCTCATACGACTCTAATCCTTGGAGCTCATAGAACCACTCCACCGAGGTAAGTGACTCCCTTTTCTCGAATTATGCATGCAATAGGATGTGTTCTTGTGTTTCATGTAAAACACATAAAGGACAACCCTCACTACCTTTTTAGTTATTGCTAGGATCCTTACACTTGTAGGTAGGATGTTGTGTAGCCACTTCAGGCAAAAAAATTACTTTTGGAAGGACTTTCAATTCTCGAATTCTCATCTAATCCACATGCAAGTAGATCTCTCCTTCTAGTGCCTCATTTTTGCTTTGCCATATTCTATAAGCTTATTTACTGAACACTGCCCTAATTTTTCCAACCTTCAGGCATTTGAATCCTTCGTCAGTTGCCTAGGAATAATATTCTCAAAATATTTACCCAATTTGATAGGTTAAAGTGAGCATGTAGCACATCATACCTCCATGATATTGTTTCCATATCCATCAATTCCGCCACCGAGGCTGACTCCCCTTATCCAAAGGCAAGAGAAGTGATCCTATGTTCCTTTCTAGTTGTAACCCATTTATCCAATCATATATCATTTTTTTTTATTCATCTCTCACCCTCCACTTCATTTCGATCGTCACTAGGTCTTTAGCTACCATTAGACCTCTCAATACATAGTTGGGGTTGTAGCTGAAGTCTGCCTCCAGTACTTCCCAATCCTGGTAGTATTTTGCTTTCATTATCATTGCAACCAAGGATCCAGGATGCTGAATTAGTTGTCAGAGTTGTTTGCCTAGTAAAGCTATGTTAAAAATGTGCAACTCTCGAAACCCTAATCTACCAACCTTCTTTGACCTGCATAGTGCCTCTCAATTCAACTAGTGAGTCTTATTTCATCTTGTTGTTGACCCTGCAAGTAATTGGCTACCACACTATTAACTTCCGGTACAATTCCAACAGGTGTTAGAAATACAAACATGGAAAACGTCATATGTGCTTGTGCAACCGACTTTATAAGCACCTCCTTTCCCAACACAGAGAGTAGATTCACTTTCCAAACCTTCACTTTATTGTTAACTCTATCCACAAGGTGGACAAAGAATTGTTTTTTGGATCAAACCACATTAGTAGGGAGTTCCCGTTATTTTTTGTGATAACACAATTCATACCCATAATACTAGCTAGCTCTCTTGTCTGATTTAGAATAATGTTAGGGCTGAAGGATACCTCAGATTTAACTAGGTTTACCTATTGATCATATTCAACCACATGTAAAACTTAGGATTCTTGTAAGTTATGCACGCTCCTTCTTTGTGGCTTGAGCAAAAAAGATGTTGCCACCGTGAAAAGAGCATGTGATATAAAAAGGGCATTATGTTTGATTTTAATCCTCATTATCCTTCCTTCTTGCTCTACCTTGTTAATTAATGTTGATAAACCCTCCACCACAAATAGAAAGAGATATGAGAAATGTGGTCTCCTTCCATAATCCCTTGCTAGGATAAAACCTTTTCGTTTGGTATCCATTCACTAGTGTCGAGAATGACACTGTAGATACACAAGTCATCATCAAACAAACCCATCTCTCTGCAAATCCCAGTATTCTCAAGAAAGCCTCTAGGAATCCCACTCCATCCTATCATAGGATTTAGTAATGTCAAGTTTTGCAGCTATGTATCCTTTCTTTCCTCACTTCATAGCTTTCATCTAATGAAAGTGTTTGAAAGCAATCATCACATTGTTCGTAATCAACCTCCCTGGTACAAATGCACTGTGTTGGCACAATTATTCCATCCAGAATACCCTTTTGTTGATTAGCCTACACCTTTGATAGTATTTTATATAATACATTGCATAAACTTATCTCTCTAAAATTCACTGGGGTTTTTTATACTTTTTTTCTTTCTCTGCATCGTTCCAATTTTATCGGATGCCCTTGAGGGACTAAACTTTTATTTTATGGAATCAATGCAATGAGTGTGCGATTAAGCTCATGTAAGAACATCCCTTCCTCCATAAACCCTTGCAATTCAGCTATCACTACTTCCCTTACGATTTTCCAATTCCTTTGAAAAACATTGATAGCATTCCATACGCTTATGGAGCTTTCAAAGGCCCCGTTCTTCCTTAACGCTTCCCATTCTCTTCCATGGCGAACGGTTTTAGCAGTTCATCATTCATTTCCATTGTTTACTTATGTTGTTATAGTGTGGCTCGAACTCCAGCAGTGCCTACTGTATATAAATGTTTAAAGTACTGAACTATACATTCATAGACTGCTTGTTATCCTTCATAAAATCTTCGATCCTCACCTCCCATTTTCCTTATTATGTTTCTTGCTCTTTGATATGTTGCTCTTAGGTGGAAAAAATTGTGTTTTATCGCCCTCCTGCAACCATTCCATCATTGAACGTTGTTTCCATATCAATTCTTTTTGGAGCGGTAACTCTTACAATTCTTTTTTCCAATACTATGCTGTGAGCTTGTATTGCTGGAGTCATTGGTACTCTCTCTTACTTTTCAAGTGCTCCCTCAATCTGGATTCATCGAGTTTTTAGGCTGCCAAGAGTAACTATCCATGTTGCGCCACAAGATCATTGTTGTCAACCCAGGTTTGCCCGAACTTACGGTTGAACCGGTTTCACTAGATGACAAAGGCTTGGTTGCCTATCAACCTGAATGAGGCCAAACCTAGAGAAATCCCAGTCAATATGATAAGCATGATTAGTTTGATCGACTACCTGAGTGCCGAGCTTATCTAATACTGTGTCGTCACCACTATTTTCTGCAAGGGAAGGAACTACAATCCCTAATTTTCCATTGCACGTCCTTCTTTGGTCCCCTCCATTGACCTTCTCTTACAATCTTCTTCATCTCTCAATCATTTCTTTTTCCTTTTTTGTCATAAGTTGGAGCATGATGACAAGAGGGAGAAAATTGAGAGATGGAAAGGAAGGAAGACATGAGCGAGTGTGAAAGAGATTGAGAGATAGAAAGAGATGATCAGAGGGAGAGTAAGAGAGAGAATATGTTTTCCACTAACAACGAGGTGAAGAAGCAAGGAGAGATGAAGAAATTTTTTTATTAGTGCAAAAAAGGTTCACAATCCACAGGGGACCTAGCAAAATTTAATCAAACGCCACTTGATCCATATAGAAAAAGAAATATCGAAATTGGAGAGAAGATTGCATATGACTTGTGTTGAACCTTGCTTGATGCGACCCCGTTCACCCCGCATGACGTCACTCAAGCTCAAACTAGATACCTACATGGACCATGGTTCGAGAGATGATTTAAGAGGTTTAAAGAGAGCTTGAAAGCATTCAAGGTGGAAGAAAAGGTATTTGCAAGCAAGGCCTACGAGTTTGTTGATGTGAAATCAATTGGCAGAATATATAATTCTCGTGGTCCAAAGATGAAGGTCCGAGTACGACGATCCAAGGATCAAATGGGATCATTCTTGATGGACGTGGACTTGCTAGAAGGAAAGTCCATCACGTTGCTACGATTTATGGACTAGAATGAAGAGAAGATGGGCTTGGTAGAAGGAAGGAAGATCTCCCATGGTGTGAATACAAGGTGTGAAAAGGAGTACAAGTGTGAAAGGAATATCAGGTGTGAACACAAGCCCTGTAGGGAGGATTGCAAGGCTAGAATCTAGGGAGTTGTTGACCAAGTATTTTACTTGTCTTTTAAGGATTGTGTTTTCCTTTTACTTGTCTTTTAAGGATTGTGTTTTTTCCTTTTACTTGTAGGACTTGTTTTTCATTTTAAGCTTTGGATTTGTGTTAGCTAGTCTATAAATAAGAGGCTGAGTTCCTCATTGTAACTCATTCAATTATCAATCAACTTTCAAGTTACAAGTTCATACGAACTAGTTCTTTGTGCAAGCTTCTGTTGAGAGTGCTCCAGGAGTTTCACGTGTCTCTTATCAACTAGAGAACGCGTCTAGTTGTGGCGAGCTTCTACCCAATAGCGATTGGCCTTATTCACGAGTGGGTGATTGTTTGATTGGTTTCATATACCAATTGGCCTTTCACACGAGTTGGAATCTGTTTGATCGTGTTCCATCATTATCTTTTGTTCGAGTTCTTGTTCGTTGGAGAAAAGTTTCAAAAACCCATAAAAAGTAGGAAAGCTGCGTACTTTGGTCATATAATCCGAGTTCGAGGATTCTCTTCGGATTTGGATCATATCAAGTGGTATCAGAGCCTGGTTCAAACGCAGCGGAGAAGAAGGTTCTTTGGCAATCTTGTGTTGTTCTTGAAGGTTTTGACGTCATCGTAAAGGATCTTGGAGGAGTCTTTACGTTCTTGAAGGTTCTTGCGAGCTATCTTGAAGGAGTAATTAGCGCCGCAAATATGGGAGACGAGATCAAGGCATTGACTGATCAAATCCAAGCATTACTTCAAGCACATACCACCAGCCAAAGGGAGATTCAAGTGGCGCTACAAGCTCAAAATGCAAGAATGGAAGCTTGGGAAACACGGATGCAAGCACCACCAAACCCTAACCCTAATGTTGCTGCTGAAAGGGCTAGGAGGGAAGAAGAAGATCGTGGAGAGAGAAGGGTGGTACAACGACCCATGTTCGAACATGTTAGGCGACATCGGCCAATGGGTGGACTACATGCAAGACGAGGCCAGCCTCGTGATGAAGAGGTCGAATATGAGGATGACGAGGGTTACCCTCGAGATGAAGATGATGATTTGAGGAATATTAAGGTCAACATACCATCGTTCAGAGGTTCTACTAATCCCGAGGCTTACCTAGATTGGGAACGAAAGATGGAATTGATCTTCGATTATAACAACTATTATGAGAGGAAGAAAGTACAAGTGGCCGCACTCGAGTTTACGGATTATGCCATTGTGTGGTGGGATCAAGTAAGCATGAGGAGGAGGAAGAATAGGCAGCCACCTATTGAGACATGGGCAGAGATGAGAACGGTAATGCGGGATCGATTTGTGCCTAGTTCTCATCGTAGAGAGATGCATCAAGCCCTACAACTTCTGCGCCAAGGTACCAAGAGTGTAGAGGATTATTACCGCGAGATGGAGATGCTAATGATTCGAGCGGATTTGGAGGAAGATCGTGATGCTACCATTGCACGATTCTTATATGGGCTTAATCGAGAAATTCAAAATGTGGTGGAACTTCACCCCTGTGCGGATCTATACGATTTGGTTGCAATAGCAGCCAAAGTGGAGAAACAACAACGTAGTAACGTTGGGAGGAGATTCACGCCACCACAAGCAGCACCAAGGCCAGGAACGCTGAAACATCCCACCTCTTTGAATTTGAAAAAAAAGACCTTTCTACCCCGGGGTATAGTTAAAAATCTCAAATAACACAAGTTTAAATAAAATACCAAACTTAAATATCTCAATATCTCAAATCGAAGCCCTAAACACGTGGGCAAAACTCAAATTGTCCAAAGGAAATGAATCTCCAATCCTTAACTCTTAACCATAAAGACTTAATAACTGGAAAAAGTTCTCTGGTGCTTACTCTGACGCCTGGCTCGACATCTCTCAGCGACGATGGTGTTGAGTCCCTCTAGCTTGCTGCTCACGGACTGGCTGGTTAGGATTTCCTCCTCTACGATCTGGTGAGTGAGTTGGGGTCAGTCTACGCCCTTACGATAAAATCTATGGTACTTTAGTATTCTTCTCTAAACACTTAACTTCTACTAGTGGGAGTTGTTTTGTACTTCCACTCTTAACACTTATAACTCAAAAATTCTCCGGGAGTTAAAGCTCCCTTCTTAAAGCTCAAAACTTTGACTTAAATCTTTTGACTGACACTGGGATCCCTCACTAGCTAGTCCGGTTGCCAACTCATACGTATGAGAAGCCACCTAGGCTTTCCTTAAACTTAAACTTAGTTAGGGAAGTCGTAACGATTCATCCCCCTAACATCTTAAACTTATCGTGGTGGCTCTTCACCACGATTCTCAAGAGCATAACTGCTGCTCATCTTAAAAGTCTCAAGAGCATAACTGCTGCTCTATCTCAAAATGTCTCAAGAGCATAACTGCTGCTCTGTCTGAAAAGTCTCAAATGGCAACGGACTGGCGCTAGTGACTAAAAACACTTAAAACGACTTCACCTTCTTGAAGGTGAGTTACTTCTTAAAAAGACCTTATTTCTTAACTTTAACAATAACTTATAAATGTAAAGCTTTAAATTAAATAAGAACTCATGCACATTCACACCAAACATAGCTCAAACAGAATCACGTACCATCAACCATAAGCACAATCAAACAACGACAATCACCTCATCAAAATACTTAAGACTTGTGATTCTTGAAAGAACACGTAAGGCGTAGAATTTACCCCCTTTACACTCACCTTATAAAGCTGACTCCTCGATTCTTTACTCGAAGAAATCCCCCCTAGCCGAATTATCTTGGTGAACCTAATAATAAGAAAGTCACCACTTTAGTCGACCTTTCTCGGTTTAGAATTCCCTTTTGAGTCACTAGGACATCCTCTCCTCAACATCCAGTCTTTGAGGCTCGCTCCCAAGGTCTCCTAACCCACTTTAAAAATTTTCTAAAACCAATCCCTTCAAAACCGACCACTTTTCCTAATTATTTTAGTCTTGGACGAATTTTCCACCTACCTTGAACCTTCTCAAAAATTCTGATAGTAATTTTCCAATAGCAATCATAAATCCTTATACCTTGAAAAATTATCAAACCCTTATAACTCCTCGGAATTATTTTTATTTAATTAAAACTAACGTTCGAACAATTTCTAAAATTATAAATACATCTTCAAAAATTCCCAAATTAATTTACAGTCATCTCCTAACCCTGCCCCAATTTATAAAAATTTTAAACGCAAGAACAAACCCTTGCAGAGACTCGAAACAATTTAAACCATCCCAAAACCAATTTTCTGAAAATTCCCAGCAGCTTTAGTGACCACCCTAACCCTGTCACTAAAGGCCTTATCGCTTGTTGCTAAAACCACAGAATTGCACCCTCAAGAAAAACACCAAATCGATCGATCTAACTCAAAGGGATCGAGTTCCCTTACCTCTAGAACGCGCCTAGGCCTATGTTTGACGTCCCGGAACGTTGATCTCCTTGCTGCTCTAACCCTCAATGTCCTCGCTAATAAAATCGAGCTTCGAATTAGCCTAACGATAAATCGCGTTTAGAAATCGCGAAAGGGGGTTCGTGGTTCTTACCTAGAACGCGAAAGGAAAGTGATCGGGATCGGGATCGGAATTGCTCGGCGACGGAGTGGGGACTTCTCGCAGCTGCTTGGGATTTTCTCGCGCTGGGGTTGGTTCTTGCTGGGGGAAAAATACTGGAGAGGCGGCTGGGTTTCTTGGCTTGGGGTTTGGGAAAAGAAGAAAGGAGGACGGCGGTTACTGCTTTGGGGAAATTGGGAGAAGGAAATTGAGGGGTCGGGGGGGTTTTAATTCTTGCTGGCGGTTATAATTTTTTTTTTTTTTTTTATTCGGCTGTGGGGAAAAGAGAGGCTAGGGAATGGAATAGGCGGCTGGGGAAAGTGGCCGCCCATAGTGCTCTTTTTTTTTTAATAGAAATAATAATAATAATGATTTTATTATTAATAATAATAATAATAATGATTTTATTATTATTACTACTACTAATCCGCGATTGCAACTTTTAGTACCCAACCGATCACGTATTATGGTCGAACCATCACCCAAAAATTCGGGGTGTTACATTTCCTCCACCCTTATAAGAAAATTTCGTCCCCGAAATTTGAACGATAGAGCAATCACTAGAACGATTTAACGTTGGATTTGAAGAACGATGCTAGTTGGGATATAACATTTCCCTCTCCCTTAAGAAATTTCGACCTCGAAATTGTAGGTTGAACTGGGTTGCTAGCAATCGTAAGTCCGGCTGGAACCCCCGGGTTTTATTATTGAAAAATCGAGAAATGGGAGCTAGAAAGAGTACTAAAAAAAATGAGAGTACACAGAAGTTCGCCCACTACCAATCTAAACATCAACAAATAACTCTGGGTACTTCTCTCTCATGTTACTCTCTGTCTCCCAAGTCGCAGCCTCGCTGCCCTGATTTCTCCATACCACCTTTACCATGGCAATCTTCTTCCTCCTCAACTCCTTCTCCTGCCTATCCACAATCTGGATTGGAACCTCCTCATAGGTCAAATCATCCTCCAACTGGATGTCCTCGTGTCTGATCACATGCTCCGGGTTGGATCAATACGCCCTTAGCATGCTGACGTGGAAAACGTCGTGGATCCTAGACAGGCTGGGAGGTAAGGCAAGTCGATAGGCTAAAGGTCCAATGCGCTCCAACACCTCATATGGACCGATATACCTCGGACTAAGTTTTCCCTTTTTACCAAATCTCATCACTCCCTTCCAAGGAGACACCCTTAGGAATACCATATCACCCACTTCATAACTTCGCGGGTTCCCTGGCCTCTCCGCATTACTCTTCTGCCGGTCTTGAGCTGTTTTCAAGTTCCGGCGAATTACCTCCACCTTCTCCACTGCTTTCTGTATCATCTCCGGACCCTCCAGCTGTCGCATGCCCTCTGCATCCCAGTACAATGGTGTACGACACTTCCTCCCATACAATACCTCATAAGGAGCTGCTTGTATCGAGCTGTGATACTGGTTGTTGTAAGCGAACTCCATTAAAGGCAAATGCTCATCCCAAGCTCCTTCCATGGTCAAGACACACGCCCTCAACAGGTACTCTAGTGTCTGAATCGTCCTCTCTGACTGCCCATCTGTCTGGGGGTGATATGCGGTAGAGAAGTGAACTTTAGTGCCCATTGCCTTTTGAAGACTCACCCAGAATCGTGCCGTGAAGCTAGGGTCGCGATCAGACACGATACTAAGTGGAAATCCATGCAATCTCACTATCTCCCTCACATACAACCTAGCCAGCTCCTCCAGTCCTGGCTTGAACTTGATGGGTATAAAATGAGCCACCTTCGAGAAGCGGTCCACAATCACCCATACTCCATCATTTCCCCTTGGGGTCCTCGGTAAACCATACACAAAATCCATGGTGATTTCTCCCAAGTCCACTGCGGGATCTCCAATGGTAGGTGCTCAATGATTGGAGCTTGATGTTCAGCCTTGATCATTTGGCACTCCAAGCACTGGTAGACATGTGTAGCTACCTCTTTCTTCAATCCTGGCCACCAGAAATGCTCCTTGAGGGTACGATACATCTTAGTAGCCCCAGGGTGCATCGCATAGGGCGCAGAGTGAGCCTCATCCAGAATATCCTTCCTTAGCTTGTCGACATCCGGGACACACAACCTTCCTTGATACATTAGTACCCCATCTACCAGTTCAAATTTTGTGTCCTTCCCTTCTAACACTTGCTTCTTGTACTTCTCAAATTCCAAATCTTCACTCTGCTTCTCCCTGATTCGTTCCTGCAGCATAGGACGAATTTTCAAAGTTGCTAGCAACTTTGTTACCTCTTCTAGCTCCAATTCCACGTTCATGGCCCTCAAAGAGACCAACTCCGGTAAAGGGCTCTCCCTCTTCCTGCTCAAGGCGTCAGCCACCACATTTGCCTTTCCTGGATGGTACCTAATGGTGCAGTCATAATCGCTCAACAGCTCCATCCACCTTCTCTGCCTCATGTTCAACTCCTTCTGATCAGTCAGGTGTTGGAGGCTCTTGTGATCCGTGAAGATGGTGAACGTCTCGCCGTAGAGATAGTGTCTCCATAACTTCAAGGCAAAGACCACTGCTGCCAACTCCAGGTCATGGGTGGGGTAATTCACCTCATGGGGCCGTAGCTCCCTCGAGGCATAGGCGATCACCTTCTTATCCTGCATCAGCACACAACCCAAGCCTTGGTATGAAGCATCGCTATAGATGGAATACTCCCCACCGCTGGTCGGTAGTGCTAGCACTGGTGCAGAGGTCAGCTTCTCCTTCAGCAACTCAAACGCCGTTTGACACTTCTCGTCCCAAACAAATGCTTTCCCCTTCTGCAATAGCTGTGTCATAGGTCGTGCAATGCTGGAGAACCCTTCCACAAACCTCCGGTAGTACCCAGCTAAACCCAGAAAACTCCGCACTTCGGAAACATTCTTTGGTGGAGCCCAGTTTGTTACAGCTTCAATCTTCTTGGGATCCACCTCAACTCCACGCCCAGAAATCATGTGACCCAAGAACAAGACCTCCTCCAACCAAAAGTCACACTTTGAGAACTTGGCGTATAGCTTCTCCTCTTTCAATTTCTGCAAAACCACTCTAAGGTGTTCTTCGTGCTCCTCCTTACTTCTCGAGTAGATGAGTATGTCATCTATGAAGACGATGACAAACTTGTCCAAATACTCATGAAGAACCCGATTCATTAGTGCCATAAAAGCTGCTGGTGCATTGGTCAGTCCGAACGGCATGACCAAGAACTCGTAGTGGCCATACCTAGTGCGGAAAGTTGTCTTGGGCACTGAACCATCTGCCACCCTCAACTGATGATACCCTGACCGTAGATCGATCTTCGAGAACACCCTTGCTCCTTGTAGTTGGTCGAAGAGATCATCTATCCTTGGCAAAGGATAGCGGTTCTTGATGGTAGCTTTATTCAACTTCCTATAGTCAATGCACAGTCTCATACTGCCATCCTTCTTCTTCACGAATAACACTGGTGCTCCCCATGGTGATACACTAGGGCGTATGAACCCCTTCTCCAACAGTTCCTGCAACTGCTCCTTCAACTCCTTTAACTCCACTGGTGCCATACGGTAAGGAGGAATAGATATCGGTGCCGTGCCAGGAATCACTTCAATATCAAACTCTACCTCTCGCTGCGGCGGTAGCCCCGGAAGATCTTCGGGAAATACCTCGAGGTATTCCCTTACGACAGGTACATCTTCTATCTTCTTCTCTTGCACCTCCTTAACATGAGCTAAATATGCTTCACATCCTTCTAGAATTAATGAGAATGCCTTAACCGTGGAGATTAAGCACCCAGGGATAAGCTTCTTAGTCCCTTTGAACAAAGCAGTGCCCTTTCCTTCCACCTCCAGGCTAACCTCCTTCTTGTAGCAGTCCACCTTTGCTCTATTCTTTGACAGCCAATCCATACCCAAGATGACATCAAACTCGTCGAAGGGTAGTAAAATTAGGTTCGCCTCGAATTCGTGTCCCGCCACAGTGATAGCACAATCCCGAATGACTGAGTCTACTATAAGGGTATCCCCCACTGGGGTCCTGACCCCTAAATTCTGCCCCAACCTCACAAATGGAATTCCTAAGGTTCTAGCAAGCTTGGTAGAAATGAAAGAGTGCGTGGAACCGGAATCAAATAACACAAAAGCGGGCTGGTGGTAAAGCGAGATCATACCAGTCACCACCTCAGGTGCAGCGTCAGCTTCTTCTCTCCTCATGGCAAACAGTCTTGGTTTCCCAGATGCTTGAGATCCTTGCCCTCGATCCCGCTCATTGCGGTTGAACCGCCCTGGATTTCCTCCCTGCTGGTGATTAGACCGGTTTGGCTGGTTGCCAAACTGTTGTCCGGTCTGAGTTCTTCCTCCTCCGCCCCGGACTGATTGTTCGGACTGGGCTCTCCCCTGTCCTCCCTTCCTAGGGCAATCTCTGGCATAGTGGCCTGGCTCATTGCAGTGATAACAGATGCCTCCCAGATGCACCTTACACTCTCCTGGGTGGATCCTCCCACACTGGTTGCATGGGTCCCGAGGAATGTAGGTTGGCCCTGATCTGGTTGAGCCAGCCTGACTCTGGATGGCTCCATAGTAGTTCTGGGATGGTCTCCTTCTCTGCTGACTCGGCTGTCCTGGCCCCTCAGACAGGCTAGCAGCCTTCCTCTTGTTCCCTTCTCGTTGTATCCCCTCCTCATACAGAGCTGTATCCGCTCTCTCCAATCGAAGAGCCGCCTGATAGATCTCTTCCCTGTTGTTCCAATTCAGTATACTCAGCTGGCGGCGAAAAGCAGGCTTCAGGCTCTCCAGGTAATGGATGCGTTGAGCTGCTACATCCTGAAATTGAGGCCCTCCATAAGTAAGTAGCTTGTCGAACCTGGCCGTGTACTCAGTCACGCTTTCCCTGCCTTCATTGCCCCACTTCTGCCTGATCAGCAAAAATTCCCTCTGCTTCCCGATCCGGTAAGCCTCCGGTATGAAATGATCTTTGAACAACTGCACGAACTCTGGCCAAGTGATGGCCGGTGGATCCTCTCGACTAGCTGGCTGGGTAGTCCACCAGTCGTATGCAGCGTCCTGCAGTAAGGACACTGTCAGCAGCACCCTGTCCTCATCATCAGCTCTCATCTCGGCCAGTGTACGAGTGACCTTAGCTAGCCACTGCTCTACTTCCATGGGGTCTGTTGAACGTCCCCCCTTAAAATCTTCCACCTTTCTCTTCCGGAACCCTACATAGTCTGGTGGACGCCTCTCTGGTACTGGCACCGGTGGTGTGAGCTGCGGCCCAACACTTGCACTGTAGACGTACAGGGTTTCGTTAGATCTCAGTTATTTCTTCCTTGATATGGTTTAGAGTAGACTGGAGATTCTAAATTCTTAAAAGAAATCCTGACTGGTTTGGCCAAACCTTAACTTGAAATCTTTAAAACAAAACCTTTAAAAACTGAGACCGACATTCCAATATTTCTTGGGAACCAAGAAACAGAGGACGACCGGCTCTGATACCAAAATGAAACATCCCACCTCTTTGAATTTGAAAAAAAAGACCTTTCTACCCCGGGGTATAGTTAAAAATCTCAAATAACACAAGTTTAAATAAAATACCAAACTTAAATATCTCAATATCTCAAATCGAAGCCCTAAACACGTGGGCAAAACTCAAATTGTCCAAAGGAAATGAATCTCCAATCCTTAACTCTTAACCATAAAGACTTAATAACTGGAAAAAGTTCTCTGGTGCTTACTCTGACGCCTGGCTCGACATCTCTCAGCGACGATGGTGTTGAGTCCCTCTAGCTTGCTGCTCACGGACTGGCTGGTTAGGATTTCCTCCTCTACGATCTGGTGAGTGAGTTGGGGTCAGTCTACGCCCTTACGATAAAATCTATGGTACTTTAGTATTCTTCTCTAAACACTTAACTTCTACTAGTGGGAGTTGTTTTGTACTTCCACTCTTAACACTTATAACTCAAAAATTCTCCGGGAGTTAAAGCTCCCTTCTTAAAGCTCAAAACTTTGACTTAAATCTTTTGACTGACACTGGGATCCCTCACTAGCTAGTCCGGTTGCCAACTCATACGTATGAGAAGCCACCTAGGCTTTCCTTAAACTTAAACTTAGTTAGGGAAGTCGTAACGATTCATCCCCCTAACATCTTAAACTTATCGTGGTGGCTCTTCACCACGATTCTCAAGAGCATAACTGCTGCTCATCTTAAAAGTCTCAAGAGCATAACTGCTGCTCTATCTCAAAATGTCTCAAGAGCATAACTGCTGCTCTGTCTGAAAAGTCTCAAATGGCAACGGACTGGCGCTAGTGACTAAAAACACTTAAAACGACTTCACCTTCTTGAAGGTGAGTTACTTCTTAAAAAGACCTTATTTCTTAACTTTAACAATAACTTATAAATGTAAAGCTTTAAATTAAATAAGAACTCATGCACATTCACACCAAACATAGCTCAAACAGAATCACGTACCATCAACCATAAGCACAATCAAACAACGACAATCACCTCATCAAAATACTTAAGACTTGTGATTCTTGAAAGAACACGTAAGGCGTAGAATTTACCCCCTTTACACTCACCTTATAAAGCTGACTCCTCGATTCTTTACTCGAAGAAATCCCCCCTAGCCGAATTATCTTGGTGAACCTAATAATAAGAAAGTCACCACTTTAGTCGACCTTTCTCGGTTTAGAATTCCCTTTTGAGTCACTAGGACATCCTCTCCTCAACATCCAGTCTTTGAGGCTCGCTCCCAAGGTCTCCTAACCCACTTTAAAAATTTTCTAAAACCAATCCCTTCAAAACCGACCACTTTTCCTAATTATTTTAGTCTTGGACGAATTTTCCACCTACCTTGAACCTTCTCAAAAATTCTGATAGTAATTTTCCAATAGCAATCATAAATCCTTATACCTTGAAAAATTATCAAACCCTTATAACTCCTCGGAATTATTTTTATTTAATTAAAACTAACGTTCGAACAATTTCTAAAATTATAAATACATCTTCAAAAATTCCCAAATTAATTTACAGTCATCTCCTAACCCTGCCCCAATTTATAAAAATTTTAAACGCAAGAACAAACCCTTGCAGAGACTCGAAACAATTTAAACCATCCCAAAACCAATTTTCTGAAAATTCCCAGCAGCTTTAGTGACCACCCTAACCCTGTCACTAAAGGCCTTATCGCTTGTTGCTAAAACCACAGAATTGCACCCTCAAGAAAAACACCAAATCGATCGATCTAACTCAAAGGGATCGAGTTCCCTTACCTCTAGAACGCGCCTAGGCCTATGTTTGACGTCCCGGAACGTTGATCTCCTTGCTGCTCGAACCCTCAACGTCCCCGCTAATAAAATCGAGCTTCGAATTAGCCTAACGATAAATCGCGTTTAGAAATCGCGAAAGGGGGTTCGTGGTTCTTACCTAGAACGCGAAAGGAAAGTGATCGGGATCGGGATCGGAATTGCTCGGCGACGGAGTGGGGACTTCTCGCAGCTGCTTGGGATTTTCTCGCGCTGGGGTTGGTTCTTGCTGGGGGAAAAATACTGGAGAGGCGGCTGGGTTTCTTGGCTTGGGGTTTGGGAAAAGAAGAAAGGAGGGCGGCGGTTACTGCTTTGGGGAAATTGGGAGAAGGAAATTGAGGGGTCGGGGGGGTTTTAATTCTTGCTGGCGGTTATAAATTTTTTTTTTTTATTCGGCTGTGGGGAAAAGAGAGGCTAGGGAATGGAATAGGCGGCTGGGGAAAGTGGCCGCCCATAGTGCTCTTTTTTTTAATAGAAATAATAATAATAATGATTTTATTAATAATAATAATAATAATAATGATTTTATTATTATTACTACTACTAATCCGCGATTGCAACTTTTAGTACCCAACCGATCACGTATTATGGTCGAACCATCACCCAAAAATTCGGGGTGTTACAAACGCCTTCAACTTCAAACCCTAGGTCAGCCATAACGAAGCTAGAAGCATCAACACAGGCAGCCAAGGTGGAAGCACCAAGAGACAAGCCCACGGGCTCTAGTGGAGGCATTCAATGCTTCAAATGTCATGGAAGAGGGCATATGGACAACCAATGCCCTAATCGAAGAGCTCTAGTCCTACTAGAGAATGGGCAATATGTCTCGGATTCCGAAGAAGAGGAGCACGCGAGGGAGACATTAGAATCTGAAGTTGACGAATCAATAAAAATGGAGCCCCCTCCTGGAAGTTTGCTTGTCACGGGAAGAATGCTAAGCGTGCAACCCAAAGAAGACCTCGAGCAAAGGGAGAACCTGTTTCACACGAGATGTGTAGTGGATGGGAAGCTGCTCGCCGTGGTGATTGATGGCGGAAGTTGCACTAACGCTATTAGTACCATAGCGGTTAGCAAACTGGGATTGAGCACAATCAAGCATCCCAAACCCTACAAGCTTCAATGGCTCAACGAGGATGGTTCAATTAAAGTGGCAAGGCAAACTCTTCTTAAATTTGCCATTGGAGGATATAAGGAGAAGTTCTGTGCGACGTAGTACCTATGCAAGCTACACACGTCCTACTTGGAAGGCCATGGCAGTTCGATAGAAGCGCGCAACATGATGGAGTCTCCAACAAGTATCAAGTGTTACATAATGGAAAGAAAATCATGTTAAAGCCCTTGACTCCCAACGAAGTATATGAGGATCAACGACAACTCCAAAGAAACCGGGAGAAAGAAGCTATTGTCGTGGAACAGAAGCAAGGAGGAGAAGATTGCAAGACTTTGATGCTAGCACGTAGTGAAGATGTGAAGCCAGCAATTAATGAGTCATCACCTACTCAAGTTGATTTTGTCACGGGAGAAGCCCTACAACAACATCAAATTTCGTCCCAAGACATAATCAACGCCTCAAATACTCCCACACCACCCAATTCTGCTCATGAGCATGGTCAAAACCCTCTTCAATGTAAGTCAATTCATATGCAAGATTATGGTGAGATTATTGACCACATTGATTTTGTTATTGGGGATGAAGTGACATACATAGAGGCTCGTATTAGAGAAAGACGAAGACTCCAAGAGTTTGTGGATCATCTTAGTTTTCAAGGTGCATGGTCAAGTGGGAAAATAATGAAGTCACGAGAGAGAATTTATATGTCACAACAAGATTTGAGGTCAAATCTTTTTCAAGAGGGAGGGAATGATGCGACCCCGTTCACCCCGCATGACGTCACTCAAGCTCAAACTAGATACCTACATGGACCATGGTTCGAGAGACGATTTAAGAGGTTTAAAGAGAGCTTGAAAGCATTCAAGGTGGAAGAAAAGGTCTTTGCAAGCAAGGCCTATGAGTTTGTTGATGTGAAATCAATTGGCAGAATATATAATTCTCGTGGTCCAAAGATGAAGGTCCGAGTACGACGATACAAGGATCAAATGGGATCATTCTTGATGGACGTGGACTTGCTAGAAGGAAAGTCCATCACGTTGCTACGATTTATGGACTAGAATGAAGAGAAGATGTGCTTGGTAGAAGGAAGGAAGATCTCCCATGGTGTGAACACAAGGTGTGAGAAGGAGTACAAGTGTGAAAGGAATATCAGGTGTGAACACAAGCCATGTGAGGGAGGATTGCAAGGCTAGAATCTAGGGAGTTGTTGACCAAGTCTTTTACTTGTCTTTTAAGGATTGTGTTTTCCTTTTACTTGTCTTTTAAGGATTGTGTTTTTTCTTTTTACTTGTAGGACTTGTTTTTCATTTTAAGCTTTGGATTTGTGTTAGCTAGTCTATAAATAAGAGGCTGAGTTCCTCATTGTAACTCATTCAATTATCAATCAACTTTCAAGTTACAAGTTCATACGAACTAGTTCTTTGTGCAAGCTTCTGTTGAGAGTGCTCCAGGAGTTTCACGTGTCTCTTATCAACTAGAGAACGCGTCTAGTTGTGGCGAGCTTCTACCCAATAGCGATTGGCCTTATTCACGAGTGGGTGATTGTTTGATTGGTTTCATATACCAATTGGCCTTTCACACGAGTTGGAATCTGTTTGATCGTGTTCCATCATTATCTTTTGTTCGAGTTCTTGTTCGTTGGAGAAAAGCTTCGAAAACCCATAAAAAGTAGGAAAGCTGCGTACTTTGGTTAGGGATGGCAATGGGTCGGGTAGGGGACGGATAGTGCATATCCGTTACCCTACCCAAAGTAGTTCGGGTTTTACCCATACCCATACCCACTTGTGAAACGGGTAGAAAATTAAAACCATGCCCATACCCGTTCGGGTTTCAGGTATCCGCGGTTATCCGTGGGTAATGATTTTTCTTCATAACTATAACCAATATGTTAATATTCACATGTATTCTCACATTACGTAAGAAGAAAGTACGACAATAATTCACTAGAATGAAGAAAATTAATTAAACAACACAATTTCATGAAAATATAATATTTATATGCTAAATATAATATACGTTAGAGAAAAAAATGATTAATTCTAGACAGAATACATATTCATGTGTATAATCGGGCAGGTTCGGGTTGGATAGTGAGAAACCCATGCCCACCCATTACCCGCAATATTCGGGTTCGGATTTTACCCATACCCACTAAATGTCCTTCGGGTTCGGGTTCTACCCTACCCGATTAGGTCGGATTCGGGCGGATATCCACGGTTACGGATATTTTTGCCATCCCTAACTTTGGTCATATAATCCGAGTTCGAGGATTCTCGCGGATTCACTCATTACATTATATCCATATATATATATTTCAAATGGGCAAAAAACGAACCAACCAGATTGATCATCTTTCAACCAATAATCCACCATCCACTTATTTAACCGGGTCAACCATCATAACCGGTTATCAACATTGCACAAGGCCAATGGCCATTCTCCAAGTCCAAACGGCAACCAACTCGCGCCGTCGTCCTGTCGTAGCATGCTATAAATTAGCTGGTGGATTTTTTTGTCCGGAAACCCTTTTAGGCTTCGTCGGCCCTGTATTCGGCTTCTTCTTCTTCCTTCTCAATGAACGGACGCCGGCCTCCCTTTCGGCCGGGCGGCCGCGGTGATGGCGGCCGACGCCCTCCACCGCCGCCAGGATTTCAGCCGTTGCAAGGCCCTCCTATGAGTATCGATCCTAATTTCAACATGCACTTGCAGAATATGTATCTCCAAAGCATCGCCAATCCTCTTCACCTGAACTTCCAGCTCCAACAGAGCGTCGTCCTTCCTCCCCCTCAAAACCCTAACTTCCGAGCTCAGAATCCTAATTTTCCGGTTCGTAATTTTGGTTTGCCCATTCAGCATCCGAGTATGCTCCCTCATCAGCCACTCCCTAGCAGCTCAGCAACCCAGCAGCCGCGTAGCTCGCCCGCATTTCCGTCAATGACACCGCCGTTATACCCCAGCGGTTCAGTTGAGCAGAGGTATGGAGACTCAACCAGGGAACAGCCGTCGATGAATAAACCTCCAACGGTCACTTTTAAGACCCAGCCCTTTGCAATTAAACATGATAACCTAAGCAAGAAGAAGTTTCTCGACAAAATTGACCGGGCAGCGGATAAGGCGAGGCAAGACCTTATCGCTGCCGGGGAGAGCGTTACTTCCTGGAAGGTTTCCCAGAATGTACTGCTGGCATTGCAGGTTGATTCATGGCAATCTTTAGGGTTCAGGATGCAGGAGATACGGTCTCTGCACCGGCTTATTCTCACTGAAGGGAAGGTAATTACAAAATGTTCTTGGCCTTTTTTCTTTCAAGAGCTTGCTGATAGATGCTATGTGTGGGTTTTTGCGGGTATTGGGGTGGCAATGAGAGACAATGCTGGGATTTCGATTATATTCGCTTTGAAATTGGAATATGATTGGTAGATAAAGCTTGCAAGTTACCAGAGGGACGGAGCTCGGCCCTAAATGAAAAGTTTTGATTTGGATGCCTTTACATGAGCCAGAGACTATTACTGTCCTGAGATCTGGGGATAAAATCATTGCAAAGTTCATGTGAATCTCCTGATCCTTCATTTGCACCGTCATTTGGATTTTGGACTCCAACTTTGATATTCATTCACTCTAATATGAGGTTGACGTCTGTGCAGTTAAGACTTCTAACTGCTAGGGGCTGAGTTCTTATGCATGTGTTAGTCAAACCTCAATTGTTATAATTGCAGTATACAGTATGCTATCGTCCAGTATATCCTTTTCTTCCATGCATTAGGTCTCATTCTGCTATTAAGTCTCTTACTTCCTTTGTTCGTCTTATCAGGTAAGCGCATTCATCCATTGCTTTGTTGCAGTCTGGAGGGTGACATCATTGTATGACCTAGAATTGGCACTGTGCCAGAATGAGGGTGTTGAGCAGTTTGAAGATCTTGATTTGGGCCCTCTGTTGCAGCATCCTCTTGTCTTGCACTATTTTTTTGTCAATTCTAATGTCACTGGAGTGTTCAAGATAACTAAGGAGGACATAATTGCTGACCTTCATGAGTTCATGCATTCCCATGGAAAGAAACAAATTAACGTTGATGAATTTCTAGATTTTGTCGCTGAGAAGCGATCTATTATGGAAAAAGAAAAGCTTGGAGTCCGTATTCAGAACTTGGGGTTGGTATTTATAAAATTTTCCTTTTCATGTGTCCCTTTACTATTTTTTCTCTTCTTTTCCCAACCTTCCTCTCTCCCTCTAAGAAAAGGGGTTAAATTGTCTTCACTCTTTTCACATTTTCCGCACAATTGTTCAATATACATTTTATTGAACGACTGATTTTTAATTCCTCACTTTTTAGAAAATATTCATACGAAGGTTATATATCTGTCTTTCCAAAATCTATACATTTTAAAAATCTATCCATTCCGACAAACCACCATCACAACCACCCCTTTTTTTTACTGAGATTCAATTGTTATGAAGGACATTTGGCTGTAATATAAACTGATAGGATGAGTTCATGTGTTTTGCAAGATAGGATGAGTTCAGCATATGCACAATATTTTTCATTTTGTTGTTGTTTTCTTCTGATCACCCCTTTTCAAGAGTTCTAGAGTGTCCAATGTCTCTAGTAGCTCATAGTGAGGGGCATATTAAAGAAGCCTGCAAAGTTATGCTGCTAATTTTGAAACAAACAGTTTCGCCAGAGAAACTAGATGAAACTTTTTTGCGACTGGGAGAACCTTGTGTCATGAGACAGCAGTTAAAGTTTCATCCTTTTTTTTTTGTGGCATGGCATATCTTGAATGTAGCTTGATGCTAATCATGCTAATTTTTGTTGACACTAGGATGTATATTTCTTTTATCCGGGATGCCAAGAGGTCTGAAGATGAGACATTGAAGGGATGGAAAATAGATTTTGCAAGGAACTCTGATAGTAAAAGTAGAAAGCAGCCTCCTCCTATCAACCATAAAGACTTGGATGAGCGTTTTTCCTCTATATGTGAGCGGATTGAAACATTTTCATCTGCACAAAATCTGTTCCGTGGGAAGCACATTCGCTTTGGCTCATCAAGCTCCGAGGATGAAGAAAGTGATAGTGGTTCAGGTAAAGATGAAATGACGCCAAATAGGCACAACACTGACATGAAGATACAACTTCAAGATTTCAGTGGCTCCATTCATAAGAATAGTTGCCCTTATCCATCTGCAACTGAAGAGAGGTCGCGACTGGGGTTGAAAGATGATGCTGGTCCGCTGTCTTCTCATGACGGCGAGAGAAAACACAGTGGGCTGGGAAATAAAAGAAAACTCATGATGGAAAAAGGCACTGTGTCTGCACCTTCCAAATTTCGTAAAGTTGACAAGGTAAAACAAAACGATATTGCGGATTCTAGTACGCCGGATGAAGATTCTGCTCTATTATCTGATAGCTCCATGAAAAATTTCATTGCAACATGGAAGGGTGACTGTAAGGAGCACACCTTAGTCAAGGTATGTTCATCGACAAACATTCACCTGATGTGAGAACGTTTCTGTGTTGACTGTGTTGATGCTGGATATCTGTAATAGAGCTTCTCCCGTTTCTGAACTTTTCTGTGGTGTGTGTCGGAATTTAATATGGTCACTTGGAAATGCTGTAGCATGCCTGACAGTGTCACTAGATGTGAGAGAAAAAACATGAGATATATGGTTTGACGAAGTTGCCTTGTACTTGGGGCAGCTACCTTGTGTGGTTTCGTTTCTATCAAAGGTGCACTTACCCTGTAGACAATTATCCATATATTTTTCTCAAGTATCATTTTTGGGGTCACTTGTCTCTGTCACGACCTTGCAGCATTCACAAGAAGTTAAGAACTACATGGAATATCAAGACAACTCCACATGAATGGTGCGACTAGGAGCCCATTTTGGTGGAGTTGGACACACAAAACCTATGGCAGCCAGTAACGGGGCTGATTTATGGTTCAAATTCGAACATTAAACAGAAGCAGAACTTCTAAATATGTAGTTTCACTTTGTTAGTTATATCCACATATGATATAGTGAAATGACATGTCCCTTCTCTACTCATGGAAGCTTGTACTTTCTTTCCCCCCGCATATTAGGATGCCTGCTTTATAAATTAAAATTAATATTTAGAAAGCTGTATACACTCTAGAGATATGGGTGCTGATCTCTCTATTGAATTTTAGTTTCCGTCTTCCATTTTAGTGCGAGATACATTGCTTACCTTGAGCACTTTTGGCTTTTCTCTGGTGCTTCTAGGTTCTTGAAAAGATGTTTGAGTTCTATGTTCCAGAAAATTGCAGGGAAGAAGTCAAGTCGACAATTTTGTGTCAGCCTTTCATTGGATTGCTGAATGTTGCTGTAAGTCAACTTCCAACTGACTATACTGGTGTTATCTATGGGCTAATCTTCAATTCTTCATCTTGCTCATGGTAGTACGGGGCAGTGTTGTGTTGGTGACCCACTCCGTTCTAGTTTTTCCAACGTATCTACTAATGGCAGTCTTCCTGCTTATGGTTGCTTATTTGGATTTCATCCATTGCATGGAGGGAAAAAAGAACGTTTCCCTCTTAAACTGATAGTTACATGCTCACATCAAGAGTGGTGTCTCGTGGCTGGTTACTTTACTAATATATAATTTTTTTGTCACTTACTATTTGATGTATTGCCTGGTGAAGCAAAGTTGATAATTTTGCAGATATCATCTATGAAACTTGGAATGTGGGATAGCATTTATGACACTTTTGAAGGAATTACTCAACCAGAGATGCAGGGACTTGTAAGCATTAATGTTGAAGCAGAAGAGCACATATGTATTGACGTTGAAGTAGAAGGAAATCACGCACTTGAGCAGAATCAGCAAACCACAAAAAGTTAGTGCTAACTTAACTGTCACGAGTCTTTCTCTTTATCCCGTTGTCACCTCCCCCCATCTCTCTTCCTTAGCTCCAACCCCTAACTCTGTTTGCTCAAGTCAGGGAAATTAGTTCATTATTTATGTGGTTGCACTTGAGAAGCTAGAACCCAGCTAAAAACTTGTGAACTTAGAAAATAAACAACTAAAAGTTAGATAATCTATATAGCACGTCTAAGTGTTACCCTCAGGTTGTATTTTGGTCAAGTTGAAATGATTTATCTTTAAATGTGGCTATTATCATTTAATGGGATGATGGTAAATCCAATCCAAGGTCTAGGACGCTTTAAATGGTTGAAACAAACATATCACTAATTGTTGCAATTTCACATAAGAATCTACAGGAACAAAGGCTGGTTCTTAAAGGATTTTTTTTTTGTTGTTTTACAGACATTTCTTTGATTGGCATGAATGATGTCTTCTAAAATTAAGTAATGTATTGTAGCAGGTGTGTCGGTCCAAGACATTGTTGCAAAAATATCTAATTACTGCGAGCTTGATCATGAGTTCTGGAACACCAGCAAGTCAAACTTGGAAAATATATTTATCCTTCTGCAAAAGCTTTGCTGTTGTGAGCGTTGGTTGGTTGATCAGTTTGGCATTAAAGAATTCGACACCCTCGGCCATGGTGAGTTCATTGTTTTCTTGGAGAACCATATATCCCTTTTACCAGCTGAGTTCCGGAATCTTTTGGTTCGTGAACTATGTGGAGGCCCTTCACTGGAAGTTCGCATTCTCCAGGATCAGTTTATTCTGTTAGTTGCACAAGCTTATAATAATTTGTGGGAGAATGAAACCATTACGAAACAGATGATTACTGCAATGCTTTCAAGGCAATTTCCGTCGCTCAGTGCCAATGTTACTGGCGACTGTTCTAGTGAACGTTTTCTAGGCATTGTGGAGAAACATAAGAGCAACGCTATTTCCAAGAGCATCTTGTTTTCTGCAACATTGTTGGGAACAGATCATATTGGTGATCAGTTGGGTCACAATGAAAGTGACAGATTATCAACCCGTGGCCGTAAGGAGATATCCTTTTTGTCTGTAACATCCAAGGCTGCTGTTGACGTTCTACTTCAAGCTCCCATGTTATCTGATTTAAATTTGTGGTCTCAATGGGGCCTGAAGTTTGCTCCATCTCTCGGCCCTCTCCAAGAATTTTTGGCCAGTGAAGTAAATACCAGAGAACTGATATGTCTTGTCACAAAAGATGGAAAGGTGATTAAACTGCATCATTCTGCTACAGCAGATGCATTCTTGGAAGCTGCTCTCAAGGGATCTCCTTTCCAGACTGCCTTGGAACTTCTATCTTTCTTCTCACTGACCGGTGGCGAGAAGCATGTTCCTATGTCCCTTCTCAAATCCTATGCGTGCGATGCATTTGGTGTCATTCTGAATGATGCGTCAGACAGTGTGGACGTTCAGGGATATGCAACTAACCAAGCGATTGCCACGACTGGATTGAAGGATCTTCACTTTCCACTTTCTGTTGCTTCAAGGTTTTTCCTTGACTGCATTGGTTACGTGCCTGCAGAGTTCCGTGGTTTTGTAGCTGACGTCTTACTTGCTGGGATGCAGTCTGTAACTTCTGATGCCTCATCAGTTATTTTGCTTGAATGCAAAGGGGCAGAGCGTCTCATGCTTCATGAAATAGGACTGTCCATTGACATAGCAGAATGGATAAAAGATTACCATGCATTTACTGCTGATTCCAGTTACTCATCCAAATTCTCTGGACTATTATGTATGGACGTTGTCATGCCTGAGCTGAGGACAGTACATAAGCACAACCAAAATGAAACTGATGAAAGACCACTTGCTTCTTCTGGGGATTTCTCATGTGGTAAGGGAGTTACTGATGGCAGTCTTGCTGTTGGTGATGCAGTAGTCTCTAGTCACACAGGTTGGTCCGTACTAGATAATGATGATAAGGAGAAAGATGCTGCATCCGTTATTGACTGTATTAGGAGAGATGAGTTCGGTCTAGATCCAAATCTTTCAAGCATAGAGAGTGACATGTTGAGAAAACAGCATGCCCGCTTAGGAAGAGCACTTCACTGCCTATCACAGGAACTGTATTCCCAAGACTCCCATTTTCTTCTTGAGCTGGTTAGTTTACGCACTACTATCCTGATTTTTCATGTGACGGTGTTAACGATAAAGAGTAGGTCTTCATCTCTTGGCTGTACTTTTTCTCGTCCAGTTATTATTTTGTGCCCATCCATTAGATGTTGTCATTATTTGGATAATGTGGGACGGGGCTTCCATTCTACACCACATGAAAACAAAAATAAAGGGAGAGTTTAAAAGTTGTATTTAAAGAGAAGGAATAGAAGTGCAGGTGGAATCTCGTATGCTTGGATAATGAATATGAAATATGTTCTATTTATACTGTTGGCTGCTTGTCTTTTTTCTTCTGTAAATTGTTTCTTTTTGCTTCTATAGGTGATGGGCATAATTTTGAATCTGGGATGGGTTATATATTTTTCATCCTCATTATTTATCTGTATGTTCTTAGTCGCTGTCTTATCCTGTAATAAGTAATAACATCCCTTCTCTTAAGCAATAGTAATGTTGCGTGAGGCATTTTTATAGTGTATGTGTTCATTTTTCATTAAACCTAAGAATCTGGGTTTCTTTTTTGGATTGAAATCTTAACCTAATCAACCCTGTCTCTTCAGGTTCAAAATGCTGACGATAATACTTACCCTGACAACATGGAACCAACCCTTGTGTTCATCCTTCAGGAATCGGGTATTGTTGTCTTGAACAACGAGCGTGGCTTTTCTGCTCAAAACATCAGAGCACTATGTGATGTCGGTAATTCAACCAAGAAAGTATCTGGTGCTGGCTACATAGGGCAAAAGGGGATTGGCTTCAAGTCAGTATTTCGGGTAGGTTTATCAAATCCTTCTCTTGAACTGCTTATCTCTGCTTCCAATCTCATTAGAATGTCAAATATAAGTTCTGATTTACCTCTTGAACAGAGTTAATCTGGTGAGATATATAAAATTTGTCAATATGGTTCTACCTATAAACACGCCGCTGGTACATATTCTGATATATATTTTACTTTTTATACGTGTATATATTTGTTTGAAGATTCTAAAATATTGAAGAGCATATTGCTCTTAATCTTTGATTTCATTATAATCTGTTTGTCCTCTTTGGTACTGGTGTGACTATAAAGAACAGACCATCTCTTATGCAAAAAAAAAAAAAAAAAAAAAAAACCTAGCTTATACCTTGCCCTTTGGGCAGGTAATATTTTAATTTTTTCCCGTAACTTCTTAAAATATATTAAAGGGGTTTTAGAAATAGACCCTGTCCACGTAAGCCTTGCAGGCTTTTCCGTGAGTTTCGGAAATCCTCTTTTTTTTTAATATTTTTTTCGGCTGATCATTTGTAACTTCCACTTAATTTTGATCATTATCTATTTTTCTTTACTGTTTTTTTTTTTATAAAATTTCTTTGTTGTTCTCCGTTTTAAGTGTTTTCTTTCTCATTTTTTCTTCGTTCATATATTATATTAGGAATATATGGAATTTTTAACGTCACTCCTATTTTCATACTTATCTTCACCATATTTGACCTCTTTAACGTTAAGAAGTATTATTAACTTCTCACAAAAAAAAGTATTATATAATTTCTACCAAGTATCCTATATTTTATGTGTATGTACAAATCATTTGAATATCTTGATAATAATTAAACACACATTTATATATCATATAAAATAATCACTTGAATATTTTGGCCAATAAATTACCTTTAGTGGGATTTTTATAAAGATACTAACCCAGCACTAGAAATATCTAACCCATAAGTGAAGGTCTAGAAAAACAAACCATCATGAGCCGAGTATTTTAAACATCCCAAAATTTTAGCATAGACATGTTATATACTTAGCAAAGAATGGGTATATGTAGATTAAGACTGAATATCTTGAGTTAGGAACATGTATCGCTTATATCAATAAATAGAAAATTATTTTTACAGCATCAAGTGGTTAATTATGTAATTAGTCTTTGTATTTTATATTAAGTGAAGTCATCAAAATTTTACATAAGGGTCTCATGTGAAAAATTACAGCATTTATAAAAACAATATATACAAAAATAATTTAAATATTTTAATTAAGTATCTCATTATATATGTTGCATGTTCGCGAAAACATGATTATACTATATGTATGCATAAAATTTTCATCTTAAGAAAACGTAATCACATAATAAAATAAGACTTCCCGGCCAACAGGCCGGGTACCAAGCTAGTTTACATATATGTGGCAAACATCTAAATTATCAATTCGTTATTGATTATAATATTACTTTAGGCAAAATACTAAAATCAGTGAAAATGTTCCCACAAACTATTTAACTGAAATGAAGGAAAAAACGTTCACAATACTTGTGTGCATCTTTCCAAGTGAAATATCATATATATAGGTGAAAATTATAACATTTTCTATGCATAAGGAAATCTATTATATATCTATGAAATAAAAAGGTATGATGTATAATGTAAATATTTGTTATTAGTGAATCTAAATATCTTTAAATATATTAAAGGGCTTTGAGAAAAAAGCCCCCTTCGCGTCAGCCTTAAAACCACGACCGCATCTTGCGGAATGACTAGGTTTTTATTTATTTATTTTTTTTTTTTTGTTGTAATTTGTTGGAACCGTTCCCCTGGAAAATAGGGTTCCTAACTGTATTTTTTTCTCAAACCACTGTATATTTGCAATTCACCAAACAAATGTATATATTGGTTTGGAATTTGGGCATTTGGCAGCGTTTTCAAAATATTTTTCAATCATATTTTGAATGATAATAATTGATTATAATTATTTAGAGTATCTACATTGGAATTGTATTATGACATGACATTTATTTGCAATTGTATTGATGTAGATGAAAATTGCATTTTTTGCAAACTTGCATATAATGCAATTAAAGTTGCAAGCCAAAAGTGAATTACATTGATGTAAGTATAATGAAATTAAAATGAGTTGGATTGCATAAAATGTGAGATATGAGTAAAAATCACATACGTAATTAATTTTGCAATTTCATTTATGTGGATGCTCTTACAATACAAGAAGTCTAAATACATTTTATAACAAAGTATTCCCTTGCTTTACCATTACGATATTATATTTTTGTTATCAGAAATTAGATATATGATCAATAGAACATCTACCCTATGCATTGTAGATTTTTATATTGACCAATTTTATAGATATTTCTTGACACTTTAATTGTTATGGATTTCAAATACATAGTAAATATTGTAATTGTGAAAATAGCATTATAAGTTACTTTCAAAAGATTATAATTAGAAGAATGTGGGACTTTCATCCTTGGCTTCTACATACAAATAAATTTGGACCTTTTTCTTATTTTTAAGATAAAAATACCGTAACCATCAATAAAAAAATTATGAATTTAGATGTTAATGAATATGTTCATAAATTACATGACACAAAGTATACTATAATTACCACCTGCCCAAAGGGCAAGGTTCAAGCTACTATCTATCTATCTATCTATCTATCTATCTATCTATAAAATTATTAAAGGGGTTTAAGATTTGCACCACTGCCACATCAGCCTTAAACTTCAATTAACCTATCCACATCAGCACCCAAACTTCTCTGATCTCTCTCAGGCTTTCCTCGGCCCTTTGGGAAAAAACCACCCTTCTCCTAATTTAAATGAAACGTTGTGTCTCTTCTTTTATTGCGTTAGTTTTTTTTTTTTTCATTTCAGGCAGTTGCTTTGCTGAGTTTGCTCCCTTTTATTTTCCTTCCTATAATTTTTTTTCTCTATTTTCATTCACATATTCTTTGCATAATTATTAAAATCAACACAAAGGATTGCCAATTTGCCATTCACAAAAATCCTTTTAAAACCACCATAACCCATTCACAAAATCCCGGTCAAAACATGAATTAGATGAAATCAAATAGGGCAATCAGCGTCAAAATGAATATTATTGCATTCAAATCCATCAGTGAGACCACCATCCAATTTCTGAATTCATCTAAAGAATTAATGCTAGACTATCATTTATAATAACCAATTTCAATATTTTAAAACAAAATAGGGCAAAAAGACCCTTTGAGCGTAATAGTCGACTAAAACCAAAATCGACGTGCTGGTATGTATACAATTCAATTACCGTCAAAATGAATATTATTGTATTTGAATCCATCCGTAAGACCACCTTCCAATTTTTTAATTCATCTAAGAATTAATGTTAGACTATCATTTATAATAACAAATTTCAATATTCAAAAATAAAAGTTAATTGCCCAACGGGCAGGGTCCAAGCTAGTTTTATAAAAAGAGATTTTTTAACATCCCAGCAAAAAAATCCAGATTAAAAAATGGATTTATGAATTAAAGTTTTTTTTTAACTTCACCAGAAAAACATAATTATTAATCGACTCTCACATGTCACAAATTATGTCGTAAATTTGAACTTTTTAAATTATTGTTTAATCTGAACCATAAAAAAGTTTGGAAAATGTATTGGGATGCAACCACCCTGGAAGTTAAAAATAATAATTAAAAAAAAAACAAAATTCCCAAACATGATACCTCTGTTGGTAACTTAGTCTCTACTCTTTACCCCGTAGCAGCATCATAACTGGAATAACTGCCTTTCTATCTTAACGTCATACTGGCAATTTCATCTTAGATTTAGTACATATATGTTATGACCGTCACTTCTGCCTTTTCTTGTTTGAAGGTGCTTCTGAAAATTTCTACTAGTCCCTTTTTTTGGTAATATCAACAATTTTTTTGTCAGATTCACATTTTACAGAAGAATTACTGTATTCTTTTGAAGGTTACTGATGCGCCTGAGATCCATTCCAATGGTTTCCATGTTAAATTTGATATAAGTGGTGGACAAATAGGCTTTGTTTTACCTACAATCGTGCCTCCTTGCAATGTTGATTTCTATAGCAGGCTAGTTTCTGGAGGCAGTGAACGCTGGAACACTTGTATCATGCTTCCTTTTCGGTCAAAAGTATCTGAAGAAACCACTATGAGAATGTTTTTGGATCTTCATCCTTCCTTACTACTCTTTCTTCACCGCCTCCAGTGCATCACATTCTGTAACATGCTCAACGACTCACTTGTCATTATGAGGAAAGAAATCGTGGGAGATGGTATAGTAAATGTTACATGGGGAGGAGATAAAATGACCTGGCTCGTAGCATCTCTGAAGCTGCAGGCTCATTCCAGCCGACCTAAAGTACAGGCAACTGAAATTTCTGTAGCATTTACTCTCAAAGAGTCGGGCAATAGGGACTATACCCCTTGTTTGGATCAACAGCCAGTTTTTGCTTTTCTCCCCTTAAGAGGCTACGGACTGAAATTTATTCTCCAAGGTGATTTTATTCTCACTTCGTCTAGAGAGGAAGTGGATAGGAACAATCCTTGGAACGAGTGGTTATTGGCAAGCTTCCCTGCATTATTTGTCTCTGCAGAGAAATCATGTTGTTCCCTCTCTTGTTTTAGAGAGAAACCAGGCAAAGCTGTGACTGCTTATATGCGTTTTGTTCCACTTGTTGGAGAGGTGCATGGGTTCTTTTCAGGGCTCCCTAGGGCGATAGCTCTGGAGTTAAGGAGGACACCCTGCCTGTTCCTTGAGGGAGACAAGTCAAAGATGGTTTTGCCTGGCAAAGTTCTCAGAGGTTGGAATGAAGAAGCTCGCATTCTTCTACCCGAGGTTTTGCTGCAAGAGCACCTTGGCCTTGGATTCTTAGACCAGAACATAGAATTATCTGACTCGCTTGCAAGTGCTTTGGGTATTATCGAATATGGACCTGAACTTCTGATTAGATTCCTGACGTGCTTATGCCGAACAGTAAAGGGACTGCAGTCCATGGGCGTGGGGTGGTTCTCCTTGCTGGTAGATGCTTTCTATCAAATGCTACCGAATTCTTTTCCGGGAGATGGTCTTTTGGACAGCCTTCGGACTCTTCCGTTTATTCCTCTGTCAGATGGTACATACAGCTGCAGTGACACAGGCACTATATGGTTGCATTCTGATGTTTTGAGTGCAGGCCATGGGTTTGAGGCTTTTCCAAAGTTGTATGCTGAGCTTCGGATTGTAAATCCTGGTGTCCTTTCAGCATCAGCTGCTGATGGAGCTTCTTCACAGAACATTGTGAGAATGCTTCAAAAACTTGGTGTCCAACCGTTGTCTGCCCATGAAATCGTGAAGGTGCATATTATGAATGCTATGTCTGATTTAAGTAGGGATAGACACTCAATGATAGACTATCTTTGTTTTGTGATGATCCACATGCAATCAAACTGCCCTATATGTCATGGTGAAAGGAAGTCAATTATGTCTGATTTGAGGAGTAAGGCATATCTTCTGACAAATAACGGATATAAACGGCCAGGTGACAACCCAATTCATTTTAGTAGAGAGTTCGGAAATCCTATTGATGGAACAAAATTTATTACTGTTCCGGGGATGGAATGGCATGAAGTTGATGTTGCCTATTTGACCCATCCTTCAAATGGGTCACTTTCTGAGGCGCTTACAAAATGGAGGGAGTTTCTCATGGAGGTTGGGATTACAGACTTTGTTCAAGTTAGTCAAACAGAAAGGAAAGTCACTGATTTATCTAGTGCAACAGTTAACGAATTGATGTGGGATATGAAGCTGATCTCTCCAGAGTCTATTGCCAAAGATTGGGAATCAAAGGAACTGGTGCAGCTACTGTTTCTTTTGTCAACCAATGGTGATGCACAGTGCTGTGAATATTTCCTAGAGGTTCTTGATAAACTATGGGATGATAACTTCAGTGATAAAGTAATTGGTTACTGCAATGGTAACCCTGGTGATGTTTCTAGACCTTTCAAGTCTTCCTTTATAAGCAGCCTCCATGATGCTCGGTGGGTTGTCTCAAGCATGGATAATAAGCTTCACTACCCTAAGGATATCTTCTGTGATTGTGATGCTGTACGGTCAATTTTGGGCCCATTTGCGCCATATGCTATTCCAAAGGTTAGATTGAATATGGTAGCACATGACTCACTCATATGTAGAGAAGGCTTCTACACTTATTTTTGCTCAATGTCACTCTCATTATGCTGAATGACATTGAGGTTATGACTTGAGCTGTGTAAAACAAGTTGGTTTGGTCAAGCAACATGGGATTATTACATCCTATGGGGCTTATTTCTTACATTATGTACATAACATATTAAGTTTTCATGCGTTTATAGATTTTTTGTGTGGAAGTTGTTACAGCTACAGTTTCTGAGATATTATTTTGATATGTATCCTGGAACAGGTAAAAAGTAGTACGTTACTGGCAGATATTGGCTTTAAGACCAAAGTCGCTCTGGATGATGCATTGGAAGCTGTAGCAGTATGGAGAAGACTAAATACCCCTTTCAAGGCCAGGTAGTTACTCCAGTATACCCCCACTTATGGTTCTTGCTTCTGAATGATGAATCATATTAAGCAATCTTTGTGTGAACCCTCCATTTGTATAGTATAGCTCATGTGTGGGTGCCGAAATGGAATTTGCTTAGCATCGAGGTTTTGAAGAATGATGAGTTATTTTCTTAAAAATCTTAAGCGATCAACACATTCTTTTTCTGCGTCCAGACTCTGGATGCTTTGAGAGTAATTCCTCTTGTTCAGCTGCAAAGCCTTGTTTCGTGGACAACAAACTAATCCAATGTGTTGTAGACTGGGGTGTACTGTGTACACAATAACATTGGTTTTTGACTGTTTTCTCCCCCTATTTTCTGGTCTTCCTCTTCCCAGCATAGCACAAATGTCCCGGTTCTACGAATTTCTCTCTGAAGAAATGGCCATCTCTAAGAAGAATATTCAAGAGACATTTGGCTCTGAGCCCTTTATTTTCGTTCCCTCCAAAACTGCATTAAGGAATGGCAATCTGGTGTCAGGTGCCTTTTTACGTCCCGAAGACGTTTATTGGGATGATCCAACAGGCTCATTTCACGAAATGAAGCTCCACCATCAACGGAGCTCAACGTTGCTGACTCATGATCTGTTGAATAAGGAGCTATGTAATGTTTATCCAGGCTTTCATGACTTTTTTGTCAGCCAGAGTGGTGTATGTGAAAACCCTTCTCTGCGTGGCTATCTTGATATCTTGAGGCAATTATCAACTCTTGCCCCACCTTCTGAAGTTGCTAGTGCAGTAAGTGACCTTCCTAAAAACAATTAGAGACAAGCATATATTTACTGTGCTGCAGGTTAATCTTTATTTCTCGTACAGGTTTTTAAAGTCTTCTCGAAGTGGAACAGTGAATTGAAATCTGGTTTATTAAGCTCTGAGGATTTGGATCACTTGAAAGAATGTCTCGTGAAACTTGAATATGCTATACTACCTACTGCACCGGATAAGTGGATGTCCTTGCATCCTTCTTTTGGTTTTGTGTGCTGGTGTGATAATACAGAGCTTAGCAGAGACTTCAAACATCTGGACAATATCAATTTCTTGTACTTTGATACCCTGAAGGACAACGACCAGGAGATACTTCGTGATCAAGTCTCTCAACTCTGTAAAGAATTGGGGATACTTGCTCTCTCAGAGGTGAATTTTATTGCTTTCTCTTCCTTTCACTTGATAAAGTTTAGCAAAGGTTGTATTTGATACTCGTGCTTATTTTCTATCTGTGTTGACATTGTATGTTACTGGCAAGCTGATATGTGGGAAGAGATGTAAAGGAGTTTCCATTGCCTTTGTTCATTTGGTCATGTCATTTAGAAATATATATGTTGCAACTCCTTCCCAGTGTTTGTGAAAATGAACTAAACAGAACTAAGCCATGCAGGACAAATTTGACAAGAAAAATACTTCTAGCATGTTTTCTGTGCCACAATTCAAATGGCTGATTCTGGAACTTGTGGCCCTGAGCTGTTCCTTTCGGGAGCTGTGTTGTCAACTTTCAAATGCGTACACACTGATCAGATGGCTTGATTCTTAAATGTCTGGTCTATGAAGTATAGAAGAGTTATAATGTCACGGTCACCATATGCAGGCTAGGATTTTTTTAAAATTTTCAGTAGTTGGCATCCTGAAGTCTTGTTCAAATTATGCATTGGTGAGTCTATTGTGCCTTTGTTCTGAAAGACGGGTCGAAACATAATCCTCAAAATCATTTTGTATGATAAGTTTTTGTTCAAGGGTGTTATATTTGGATACTACTCGATTATCTGTGACAGTGACACTGTGAGCTGCTTCATGAATGCTCTTTCACTGCAGGTAGTAACTCGCGAGGCAATATACTACAGTCCATCAGACTCTAACTTCAAAGCTTCTCTGGTTGATTGGGCCCTTCCTTATGCTCAGCGCTACATGCATAGCATCCACGCCACGAAATATGCCCACCTCAAGCAAATTGGTTTTGAAACTGTAAAGAGGCTACAAATCGTTGTGGTTGAGAAGCTATTTTACAGAAATGTCATAAGAAGTAGTGGCAAATCATCTCGGAGCCGATATGAGTGCAGTTGTCTTGTACAGGTATGAAATCTTTTCCCCCTGCCCAAGCAGGTGCCAGAGGGCATGGTATGATGTGAGAGGAGAGAAAAGTCTCGTCCATTTGATCTGTTAGGCAAGAAGCTTTGTTCACTTATCCTTTGTTTCTGTTTTCAGGATGAAACCCTGTACTCCACAGCAGCAACAGATCCACATGAATTATTCCTGGAGCTTTCTCGTTTATTCTTCAATGGAACTCCAGACCTACACTTGGCAAATTTTCTTCACATGGTCGTTACCATGGCTGAATCTGGCTCTACAGAGGAGCAAACAGAGTTTTTCATCATGAACAGTCAGAAGATACCTAAGCTGCCTGATGAAGAAGTTCCCTGGTCACTATCCTCTGCTCCTGCTTCAATAGGAAGCGGAGAATCCCTGACAACAGATACTGTTTCCATGTCAACGGATGTTAGGGAGAAATGCTTGGTACCGGGTGAGGTTTCAGCAATAGAAACTGGATCAAAATCATCGAAATACCAGATGGAACCTGGATTCAGATTGAACTGGCCTCCTACAGGTTGGAAAACTGCACCTCGTTTTCATCCTCATGACTTTGAAATTCACGCGTCTACGTCTAATGGTTTAGGAAAGGATCCGCTTGATAATGACGCGACACAGATGGAAGGTGTAAATAATGAGGATCCTGGAACATTGACTTACCCTGTCTGCAAACCGACTGACAATCATATTGACATTGCTCGTGAAAAAACCTGTTCTGTAGGGACAGTTTATCCTACAGGTTTTAACATCATGCCTAATCGCCCTGAGCCATTGATGTCACTTGGATTTTCCCAGAGAGAGAAGTTTAATATAACTGCAGGCGGTGATGATGAGCGTGCAGCAGCAAGTGGTAGATTGGGTGAGGAGCTTGCTTTCAGATACTTGAAAGGAATATACGGGGAAGAAGCTGTGAGGTGGGTCAATGAACATAGCGAGACCAGGTTACCCTATGATATACTAACCATCGGCAAGGAGCACAGTGGACAGTATTTTGAAGTGAAAGCCACACAGTCTGCGCATAAAGACTGGTTTTTCATATCAGCATTTGAATGGCAATTCGCAGCTGAGAAAGGTGATGCTTATACCATTGTTCATGTGAGGAATCACAACGCAGAGATTAGTTTGTTCAGGAATCCGGTGAAACTATGCCAGCAGCGAAATCTCCAGTTGATTGTTGTGATGCCAAGTGCCAACCCAATAGCCTTAGGTGGGACTTTCCCCCCACATCTTATGAACTGAAATGGTCCATTGTTCACTATGGTTTCTTGAGTTCTGCAAAGGGAGACTCAAACCTCTGGGTGCACATCCGGCAAGGATCAAGGGGGATCTCGTTGTTACATAGCTCAGGTTGGAACAATGCGTCATCGGACGTTGAATAGGCTGTCTCGCAACCAGCCATGTGTGTCCGGAAGTTATCTTTGTATACTCCCGCGGGTCTTGAAACGCAAGTTTGTTCTTGAATGGGATGGTGCCAATACGCAGTTTTTTTTTTTTTGTATGTAAAGTAGCTTGTTCGTTCTCCATTAAAGGGGAAGATGAGAAATATTTTCGTGTTATCGAAGTGACAATAAAAAGTGAAATGTAATTTATACAATTCTAGCCACTAATAAAGTTCGTTTGTTCGAAAAAATTGACACGAAAGAATATCTTGGAAGCTCCTCGGGGATATGCAAGCCAGTTCATCTAGCAAGAGGCTTATTCAGAATTGCAGAAAGAGGTGAAAGCACTCTCAAGCTCTTGCGCTCCCTCGATTGGCAGTTTCATACAGTTCCAAATTCTCAAGAAGCATTGATAGTAAATTACAAGAACACAAATTCGTTCCTGTTACACTTGCTTACTGTTATGTTTGTGTGCAATTCTCTATGGAGAAAAGAGTGCAAAAACCGCAATCAATGCCGAAATTTAAAGTTAAATGACCTCTACACTTTCTACCTTATGGTACCATTACTAATGGAAGCAACCTTGCACACCCCGGCGGATGTTGTGAATGGGATGTCTTTGAAGCAAGCTACCAATTCACTGTTGGTTTGGAAGTCCACCTGCAGCGTCTCCCATACTTTCTTCTTTGGGTTAAGTACACCATCAGGCTCCCCTTCGAGATCCGCAAACTTGACTCTCTCACCGATTGCAGCAGATTCGGGTGGTTCAACCAATTCAACCTGCATCGTAAATTTCATGATTCAGTTTAACCAGGACTTGCATGGTTATTGTGGGCTGCATCAGACACTGCAAGAAAGATGCATATGAGTGCCGACCTTAGTGTGGTCGCTGTTGGAAGCAGCAAGAACCATTGCTTGTGACTTGATTCCCCTCATGGAGGCGGGCTTCAGGTTGCAGAGAACACACACCTTGCGGTTCTGTCAGCAAGGTAAAATACCACATCAATTTTTTTGTTTCATGCAACTCGGACAGAGTAATAGTCGTGTGTAGATTTATGATCTTTAAGTACCTGCATATCTTCAAGAGGTATGTAATTGACGAGTCCACTGACAACTGTTCTAGGTTCTGCTTCACCCACATCAATTTCTTCCACATAGAGGGAGTCGGCATCAGGGTGCTTCTGTGCTTTCTTTATCAAGCCGACACGAATATCCAGCCTTGTTATGGTGATTTCTGGCTCAACTGTTCCCTTGGACTTACCATCTCCAGCAGGCTTTTTACTTTGTTGCTTTTTCCCACCATCTGTAGCCAATTGAAAGAGATGTATAAGTACCTATTCATTTGAATCCCTCTTGCATGTGTAGGAATTGAAGTTAACCTGAAATTTTTGACTTCTTCAGTTGAGCAGCAACCTTCACAGCTTCAGCCTCTGCCCTCTCTAACCTGTCAGCCTGACTGCCGGCAAATTTGCTACTGTAGAACTCCACCTCTTCATCTTTCTGGAAAAGGAAAATGAAGAGGAAGGTAAAATTCGAAAAGTGGAAAACGAATGTCAACTGCGAACGTTTTGAAACAAAAGATAAGTGAATAAGTCAACCACCAATCCTTATCCACACTATCAAACCTAATAATGACACACAAACACAAAAGCCCTTTGCGCACAAACATAAACAAGCGTGCCTAAGCAATAAAGTTCTTACCAGTTCTTTAAACAAAGGCGCTGGCGTCCCAATTCTATGACCAGGAGGAATTATCTCCCATGGTCTTTTTGCCCTCTCAATATCTCCTTTTTCATCAGAAAGTGAAGCTTGTTCGAAAGGCAAATTAAGCTGCTTGAAAACCTTGTACAGTGATGCATGAAGAAAACATCAGCAAGGGAGTGAGATCAAAAGTTACTGGATCGAGATTTAAGTCATTCAATAACATAAAACAGCCGGCTTCAAGACAGTTGATTTACCTCAACAGAGAAGGATGGCATATAGGGTTCCAACAAACATGCAAGAAGATATACTAGTCCAACGGAGGTCCGTATCACTATGGAACAGGAAGGTTTGTCTTCCTTGTAAAGCTTCCAGAATTGACTTTCCTACATTGACATGTATTGGGTATTAGTAGTAGTTAGTACAATGTGTCCAACCTAATACCAAAACAATAAGGAGATGCATCACTTACTATCGAGATACTAAATGTTCAAACTTACTTGAAGATAAGCGTTTCCTTCACTTGAAATGCTCATAGCAATTTTAAGTCCTTGTTTTAGTTTGACCTATGGAATTAGAGTGTCAGAAATCATTATTGTTCGGTGTAGGAAATAGTTGACAAAAATCCAAACCTTTTCCATGGCTTCTAGATATTGGTCCACGTGTCTGCCAACTTCTTCAGCAAGTTTCTTTGTCAATGGATGAGACTCTGAACCTGGAGCATCTGGAATAATGGAGCCATAACCATCACCTGAACACAAGATATTGGCAACAGAGTATAGTCAAAAGGATAAGCACAAATGATAAGATAACACAAAATGTTGGTGAACTTCAATTAGCAGCAAATCGACAAAACATAGCAGGGCAACTGGTGTTGCTGTGGTAATCACCAAGCTACAAGGCTTGTTGGTAAATTTCTGTTTTCCAGGTTCTACCACCCATCATAACAAGGTTTTAACAAGGTTTGGCCGAATAGGAAACAAGAAAACATTTTGAGTTTTTCATGGAATATTGTACGGTCAATGACATCTTATCAGACCATACAGATACCCAAAACAGAAATTTCAGAGTGCTGAAGGAACATAAAAGAGCCTTCAGGAATAGGGCATGGAAAGGGAAGGAAAATCAACCCCACTTCCAGAACTAGTGATTACTCCCCATCAATGGAAAGATGTTGTATGCAATAAAAACTAAGAACAAATGCAACCCTGGTGGGAACAGAAGAATGCCACCTTTAGTCCACCAATTTCAATGCAACTTTGTAAGAAGATATGCAAACATCCAATCTAGTCTAGCTAAAAGCTAAGGATTTGGGAGCAGCTAATTTACCTTCAGGTTTAGCAATAAAACTCAAGACTCTATTGACGAAGTTCCCCAAATTGTTGAGCAGCTCGCTGTTAAGTTTGGCTTGCAAATCAGCCCATGTAAATAGTGTATCAGATACCTATTCACATTAACTGTTGGTTCAATATTTATAATATTTGATAAGAAAACAGTACAGAAATAGGAAAATGAAACTGAAGTTACCTCTGGACGGTTAGTCAGTAGATAATATCGATATACTTCAGCAGGGATGTTAGTATCTTTGACATCAGTACCAAAAACGCCTATTCCTTTACTTTTCGAGAATTTCCCTGTAGAAACCATCCACCAATCATACAGTGAGGTCTCATACAACTGTGAAGAAACGTTAACGGCAATTAGAACTGAAGGTTATGACAAAGTTACTCTACTGTTAATTGACCAACCTGCTTCGTAATTTAAGTATTCTGTCACACTTATAGTCTTCATCATGGTCCAACTTTCACCAGTTCCAATAAGTGAAGAAGGAAACATAACCTGAAATAAGAGAATATATCAGGAGGACAACTTCATTCCATCAACAGAAGACAAACTGTGTGGATGAAAAGTGCAAGCTTTTCCCATAGTAGCAATGCTCAAGATTACATAGTAATATGCAAAGCATCAACATCTACTTCTCTGCTTTTCTAACACTAAACAATTTACAACCAACCAAGATCGTCTTTTCCCCCTTTTCAGAAGCGATCCTGTTAAGGTATTAATGCCTTACATGAAAGCAAGATCCAGCCAGGCCAGTGTTTTCACCAGTTACCACCGATTCCCTATATTCTTAATTAGCATCGGAAAAAGTGAAGTACGTGTATTTTCTAACCTAAATTTACATTCTCTTATCTAGAGATGATGATGATGATGATGATGATGATGATAGTAGTAGTAGTAGTAGTAGTAGTAATAATAATAATAATAATAATAATAATAATAATAATAATAATAATAATAATAATAATAATAATAATAGTAATAAAAGGTGGACATACAGTGTGGAAGGGCACATTATCCTTTCCCATGAACTGAAACAGCTCAACATTTTCAGGATTCTTCCACCATTTCTCCCAGTCAGGAGTGTAGCTAGCTGTGATTGAAACATATCCGATAGGAGCATCAAACCAGACATAGAAAACCTGGCAGAAGCATGACACAAGGTTGTCAAGCTCATGAAATGTAGATGTAGGAAATGTGCTTCCAAAACAATGGTCGAAGCAATTATGAATAGTTTAACTCGATTAGTACGAGCAAAACTGTATCTTGTGATATATATATAAAAAAAAAAAAGAAGTTAGAAATATGGCTCCTGACCTTGTCCTTGTACTTCTCGTGGGGAACAGGAACACCCCACTTCAAATCTCTGGTAATACAACGTGATCTGAGCCCTTCTCTAAGCCATGCATTAGTAGCTTGGATGGCATTCTGGCTCCAAGATCCAGCTACGGACATGTGCTCAATATATTCCACGAGTTGATCCTTTAGCAAGGGAAGCTCAAGAAACAAGTGATCCGTATCGCGAATACGTGGAGTGTTGCGACAGACCTGTTCAAATATGAGAAAGCATGGAATATTATTTCAGGCAACGAAAGTGAAAGTTTTAGAAAATTAAGATGCAGATGAAAACATCTCTGGATAGATATTATTTCCAGAAACATAACAGTATCCTGTGCAGAACAACAGTTCTGTATTACATCGCAGCCTCCAGGTCTTTCAATAAACTCAATCAAAGTTCTTGACTCAACCAACCAAAAGACAAGTCCTTCACTGACACACAAATTAAGCAAGTATCTAGAGAAAGGACACTTCAACAGGCTAACTCTAACAAAATAGAATGTTACAAGCCAATATCCAAAAGAATTCGTGAACGGCGATCTTGCAACAGCGCGGCTGATACTGACTTTGGCATGTTAGTATTCATCTAAGACAATCATTAAACAAGAGATAGCAAAAATCTGACCTTGCACTTAGGATCCATCAGCTCGGTTGGATTCAGAAGTTTTCCACACTTTTCACATTGATCTCCTCTTGCAGAGTCATAATTACAACCTGGTGTTGGACACATACCCTCAACAAGTCGATCGGCCAAGAACTTTGTACACGTATCACAGTACAGCTGAAATCAATGTAAAATATGAATAATCAGCAAAGGTAGTACGAATACAGTTTTCAGCCAATCATGAAACTTGATATCCATTATCTATCTATATATCTACCTGCTGCATCGTGTTCTCAGAAAGCCAGTTGTTCTCTAACAGCTTCTTGAAAATGGAATGACAGACTTCAGTCTGCTGCGGTGCCGAGGTTCGCCCAAATTCATCGAAACTTATATTAAACCATTTGTAAACCTCCCGATGAATGGCATGGTACCTGAAAAGAGCAAAAACCATTGCATGAGCTAGGCAAAAACATAACCGAAGGATTAACATGCAGTAAGGCACTTCACTTGGATTAATTCCAAGTGGAAAAGAAGATTCCATACTTGTCACAAATCTCTTTAGGGGAGCATTTCTCCTCCAAGGCCTTCGTTTCGGTGGCAGTTCCATACTCATCAGTTCCACAGATGTAGATAGCATTGTAGCCTCGCAGCCGGCAGTAGCGAGCAAACACATCCGCACTCAACACACCTTCGAGAAGCAGAAATGGCATTTCAGGCGGCGCGCATAATACTAAAATCATCTCAAAAGTAGCTAGAATTCATTGCATGTGATAACTTCTCACTCTGAAAATCGCAATTACTAGCAACAGATCAATCCGTTTTCAATGAAATGGAATTAGAGCCGCTGAGGGAGATAGAGAAAAGCGAATTACATCCGATGATGTTGCCGAGATGAGGTACGTTGTTGACATATGGCAAGGCGCTGGTGATGAGTATGTTTCGCTTGCCGGCCACGGGGAGCTTGGCGACCTTCCGGTCGCCGCCGGTCGGGTGATCGCCCATTGCAGTCTTCTCGGTTAAAGCTCGCCGCCGCTAAGCTACCAGCACAGTGTGGAAGTCCTGTTAGCGTGGATTATGTTCCTTTCCCGTTCCAATGCGCGGCGAATTCTAGGAGAATGACTTTGCAGTGCAGCTGTATGCTAGGGTAGAGGTGAAGGCCAAAGAGTAAAGACTAAAGAGAAATGTCATCCGTCTTATTTCATTTTACCCCCTGTTCTTTTATTTTTTTTATAAGAATCTGCTATCCAACTTGTATTAATTAATTAATTAGTAAGTAAGAGTGGCCCAAAAGGCCCAAAATACCATCAGCTACTACAATTGGATATTTGGATTAATCTAAACAGAGGGTATATGAATTCAGATCCCAGATAATTGTTTCACCCCTAGGAAGAGATGTGCTAAAGAATCAGTGGGCTACCCTGTTAGTGGATTTTAGGTGTGAGACGTGATCATAGGTTGAGACTTGAGAGTAGTCGCATTCGGTGTTGGGTAAGCTATAATATTATATTTATATTTATAAAATTGCTATTTTGATAATTTACGGGCGAGAAGAAATTTTATTGATAAAAATGAGGAACACCATGGAAGGATGGAAACACAATTTAATTTATACTTGAAAGGGTAACGTGGATGAGACGTTTTGGAGCGTCCACTTGTCTTGAATACAACTATAAAATCAATGACATATGTTGTTAGTGTTGCCACCTAAATCATATATGCAAGCCAATGCATTGTAATTTCATTGCACCTACATTCATACAATTAAGTTGCAATTGCATATGTTAAATATTTTGTCTCATCAATTAAATTTATTTGCAATTCACTTTCATCTCCCACTTTTGTAGGCCACTTTGTCTTTCCTATCCAATTGCATTTGTTATAAGATTGCAAATATATAAATGAGTGGTCACATTAATGCAATTGATTTTGCAATTACAAAAAGCTTAGAAACATTTATAAACTTTTTAGATAATTTAGCAAAAAATCAACTATGGTAAATAAAATTATATACGAACCAAATCAACAATACAAAAATAATTTGACCTAAAAGAACCTATTTTCTTCGTCTTATGATCAAAGAAAAATTCAGAGCGATATTGTGCTACTTTGTGATATAATTGAGTCAATAAATAAGTATATGTACACAACAAGAGACCACAACACACCATACTGAGGGGGTGGACCGCCCGATTGAGAGGGTGGTTGTGGAAGGTGATTCCCAAGTTATCATTCATCATATCCGTAAGGGCACTTTGTTGGATGTCTTATACGGTCCTATTTTGTGTGATTGTTTCCAGTTGGTCTCGTCCATTTCGCTTGATGTAGCTTTTAAGTCAGTTCATTGAGTTGTCAATGTGGCTACTCATAAAATGGCACATAAAACATTTTCCTTGTTATTGTTAGAGTTTGTGTCGATTAATTTTAATGTATGATGATTGTTATAGTAGTGGTTTTTTTAGTGTAGGGAGGGAAACCACGGAAAATTGAGCTCCGAAAAAATCGGAGCGGCGAAACCCTAATCCCAACGCGAAAGTTATAGGTTTTTCGTCCAACGATGGTGGCGGGCAAGCCATTAGCAACGCCGATCGGGAAATACAAACCCCCGGACGTAACTAGTGGGGTACGGCGCCATGCTGAAGGATCCTCTACCCCTGATGGGAAAAGCGCTAGAGAAACGGTTCAACCAAAAAAGAAAGTACGAGCCCTAAACTTTGACGATGGAGCTGGTGAAGTTAATGGAACCCAAGAAACATATATGGAGACTGAAAAGGAGGGTGAGGCAAGGGGACAGAGTTTCAGTGAGGTTTTGCAACATGATACTTGGTTTGGGCTCAACCCATGTCCGTGACTTCTACGATGGTCTGGGCTCAACTTCCCGAGTTGCCAATTGAGTTTATTAACAAAGAAGAAGTGATGAAGATTGGTGAATGGTTGGGCAAACCTGTCCGTGTAGACTGAGCAACAGAGCTGGGAGCTAGGGAAAATATGCTAGAGTGTGTGTGGAGGTTGATCTCACAAAACCTTTGCTCTCACAATTCAAGATTGAGGGAGTCGTTTACCTTGTCAAGTACGAGGGTCTTGATGACTTATGCATGGATTGTGGTACGTATGGAAAATCAACAGGGAAGTGCCATTGCAATGTTCCTGCCCAAGCAAAGGGATGGAAGGAGAAGAAGCAATGATCACAGACAAAAGAGCTGATCCTGCGCAGGGGCGAACCTATGGGGAGTGGATGGTTGTGCACCAGAAGGAGAGGAGATCGGGAAGAAGGGATGAACATGGAAAAAGAAGAAGCGGAGATCAAGGCAAAAAGAACTGATTTCATGTTTTAGTTGATGAGGAAACAAATGAACCCAACGAGGCTCCTGAGGAATTTAGTGAAAAGTCGGCCAATGAGGGAGATAATGGGAAACCGCAGGAGGAACGTGACTAGTCCCAAGCAGACATGCATGGTATGAAACAACCATTGACGAGACCAGTGGGAAATGCACCAAACTTGACCCAATTGACGCAACAACAAAATAGTAAGGAGACCAAAAGGGAGAAGGAAAAAACAAAGGAGGCTACGTCGGGGGTGAACCATGGTAAAAAATATCAAAAGGGGCAATGGGACCAGGCCATGGGAAAGGTGCAGAGGGAAAGAAGATGGATATGAAGAAGGGAGAAGGGACTCCTCAACAACCGGTAAAGAAAGATTAAGAAGTATCAACAATAGCTGAAGGTGTGGGGAATTGATCCCCTCCGGTCGTTAGATGAGGATCATATGCTATAACTATCGTGGATTGGGAAACATGCACAGTTAGAGCCCTTAAGTCACTTCTGCGACAGGTTTTCCCCCAGATTGTTTTTCTTTCCCAGACAAAACAACTCGCAGATGAGAATGAGCAAACTAGATTGGAGTTGGGGTTCAAATTTGGAAGAAGTTGGCCTTGTGATGTGTCCCGAGGTGGCATGGCAGGTGGGGTTTCGATGTGGTGGAGTGAGGAAGTGAAGGCTACGGTCATGTCTGACTCTTTTCACCATGTTGATGTTAAAATAGAAGAAGGACAAGAGGAGGTCTGGCGTTTCACTGGTATCCATGGCTGGCCTAAGAGAGGAAAAATACCACACATGGGACTTACTCCGAAGTTTAGCGGCATAATGGGATGTACCTTGGATATGCGGAGGGGATTTTAATACAATTGTGAGTGACCACGAGAAAAAGGTGGAAACTTAGTACATGAAGCTGAGATGAATACTTTTTCGGATTGCTTGGTGGAGACGGGTTTGCATGATTTAGGTTTCCAAGGTTATCCATTCACATGGGAAAACAGGCGAAGGGTTGGGGGGTATATTGAGGAAAGGATCGACCGCTTTGTAGTGAACGATAACTGGGGAGTAAGGCGACCGAAGGTGCGGGTCTCCCATCTTGACTCTACTTGATCAGACCATCGCCCAATAATATGTGAAACGCTGGGAGATGAAGATGGTGATACATAGTGGGGTTGATCGTATAGGTTTGAAAACAATTGGTCGAAGCATGCTGGGTGTGCAGAGACAATTGCAAATGCATGGGCGAAAACTCTTGGGAATGTGATGACAAAAATAATAAAAGTGCAGTCTAAGTTGGATGCTTGGAGTGCTCAACTTTCCCTAACTTTTGGTGGCAAAAAGAGAGGATAAGGAAGAAGATGAGGGCTCTAAAACGAAGGGAGAAGACTGATGTGGTGATCCAACAACGACAACAATTGCAGCTGGAGTTGGACGAGTTAGAGAGTGATGAAGAAATGTTCTGGAAACAGCGGTTGAGAGTTGATTGGCTACGCAAAGGGGATACAAATACAAACTATTTCCACAAGAAAGCCACTATGCAACGGAAGAGAAACACCATACAGAAGGTTCAAGATGAGACGGGAAGATGGTGGAATAGGAATGATGAAGTTTCGGTTTGTCTTACTGGTTACTATGGGCGGCTGTTTACTATAGGCGAGAGACCGCTGAAAACTTCTGTCCTGGACTCTATTGGGCGTAGGTGCTGGAAACTCTTGTCCTGATCTTTATTTGGCGTAGGGTGGATGACGAGATGAATGCTTGACTTGTTCGTCCAGTTACGCGTGAGGAGATATTTGGAGTCCTTTGGCAGATGGGGAAAAGGAAGGCACCGGGGGCAGATGGCATGCCCGTATTTTTCTTTATGAAATATTGGCATATTATAGGTGATGAGGTAACGGCGTTACTGGTTGGTATGTTGGAGACTGAAACTATCCCGCAGGAGCTAAATTACACTCCTAGCCTTGATCCCCAAGGTTAAGGACCCGCAGATGGCGAAAGATTTTCGCCCTATTAGTCTTTGCAATGTAATGTACAAGATGTTTGCAAAGGTACTGACGAATAGGATGAAGGTAACCCTGGATCGGATTATCTCAACTGAACAGAGACTTTTGTCCTAGGCCTTTTTATTGCAGATAATGTGATGACTGTCTTTGAGTGTTTTCACACGATGAAAAAGCACACAAAGAACAAAATGAGATATTTTGCTGCCTAGACATATATGACTAAGGCCTATGATCGTGTTGAGTGGTGGTTTCTAGAGGGAGTTATGAATCTGATGGGGTTTGCAGATCGGTGGATAAAATTGATGCTGATGTGTGTTACTTCATTGACATATGTTGTACTTGTCAATGGTCACAGATCACAGACCTTTATGCCGAGTAGAGGGCTCTGATAGGGTGACCCGTGTCACCGTACCAATTCCTGTTAGTGGCGGAGAGACTGTCTAGTTACACTTCCCTTGCTGTCCAGCAGAAGTGCCTCCATGGGCTCTCGGTAGTAAGAGGAGATCCAGTGATATCACACCTTTTTTGCTAACGACTCTATCTTTTTCGCTAGGGAAACGACACAGGAAAGTAGGGAGCTTAGACAAATCCTCGAAGATTATCAAAAGGAGTCTGGCCAACTGGTTAGTCTCGAAAAATCGAAGTTTCTTTCGGGGAAAACGTCAAGCCTCACCAGCGCTTGATCGT